TATCTAGATAATCAGATTCCAACTTCACGTGACTCTACTCCAGAAAAAATAATATTGACTTTTTATGTTTTTAGGTATTGTGATGGGTGTGATTGGTGCTATTGTATTGATAGGACTGGCATTGCTGTTTTTGTGGAAGTTGCTCACCACCATCCACGATCGAAGGGAATTTGCTCGCTTCGAAAAAGAAAGAATGATGGCTAAATGGGAAACAGTAAGTTCTCGTTTTACTTATTATTACATTTTCATCTAATTATGTTTCTAAAAATTTTCTCTTTGTTTCAGGGAGAAAATCCGATTTTCAAACAAGCGACCTCTTCCTTCAAGAACCCAACATATGCTGGGCATTGATCTCATAAAACTCAAAAGAGGTTAGTTTCAGCTATGGCATTGTGCCATTGTAATATTTGCAGGCTTTATAAGAATTTCTAGTCATATTTCCCAAATTCAGTGCCATGATATTTTTGCATTAAAATTTTAAGCCAATAATTACCAATAAAGTTTTATTTTGATTTATTTTAGTACAATTGTATTATAGTGAAAGATTTTAAAATATATAAAACATATTTTTTTTGTTATTTTAACAGTATTTCCTGAAATTAACAGACAAGTTTTATTAAAACATCATAGATTTCTAGATAGTCAAAACATCATGCAATTATAATTCAAAACAAAACTTTATCAGTGGCTATTAGTTTTAATTTTATTCAAGATTTATTTAATTTCATAAATAAATTGGTTATTGAAATATTTTTAATTATTTTGTTTATTCCAGTCAAACTTGAACATCTCAGCAGTGATAAAACTTGCCTTGCATTTATACACTTCACAAAATGAAATTTTTAACTTTCATTTAGAGTGAACCTACGTTCACTCATCTTAAAAAGCTAAAACTTTAACGTACAATTAAAAAAGTACTTAGGTAATCTGTACTTAGTCCATAAAAGCCTTATTAGAGCTTATTGTAATGTTTTATAAACATTTTATTTCTAAAAAGTTCTTTTATATTTTACCAGTGTGCCTTTATCAATCGCAAAAAATTAACATGTACTTATTACTAATAATAATACATTGGCACTAAATTATATTGTGTATAATAAAAATAGCAGTATTTTTATTAGTGACTGATACGTTAGTCGATATTCTTGTAGTTAATTAAAGTTATTACTAACTGCCATATTATTATAAACTAAATTTATGAAGTATATTGTAATTGTATATTGTCTTCAAATGGAGTATCATGGAATGAACATGAATACCATAAATTAGTCATATTCTCGAGCATAACTTTTATTTCTTAAATATTATTTAATGTATTTTCATTATCTGGAAACTTCTGTTTATTTTTAATTATTCATCTCAATTTTTACTTATTATATTTCATGTTATTTAAAGTTGTTATCGAGTGCTTTGATCTGATTTTGGTTTATTATTTTTGTATTCATGTTTATCTAAGTGAATCTTATTGTGCATATTGCATTCAAATAAGATTCAGATGCTTGGCATTAAACTTGGAAAGTGATGTCCAATTTTCTAAAAATTCTCCTGCCTTAATAGATATTTATATTTATAAATATTTATGGATTGTTACTTTAATTTTAAATTGTATAATTGGTATCTTTTTTATACATGGATACATCCAAAACTAGTGGCCTTAAATTTTTTTTTTTGTAAAAAGTGAGAAAAAATAATTAAACTTATATATGTAAATTATACATATGGGCATAAGAAATCTTATATTTGTACTATTGGGTACAGTTGTATTTTTATGTTTTTATTATAAAAAGACTGGATGGAAGAGTTGATACATTATTTCATAATGTTTATTTTATTATTTAGGGCAAATATAGTAAATATATTTTTCCATTTACAAAGGAGTAACGGTTTGCCTTAATAAATAATCGGGATTTTTTGTAAATATTGTGTATGATTTCATAAGAGAAAAAAAATGGAATGCTTTAAATTAATTAAAAACCGCTTGTAATCTAGTTTTTGTATACTTTATTTATAACAAATATGGTCTGCTATTATAAATCATTATTTTATTTTTCCAATCATTTTAAAATAGATTTTTTAAAATTTAATAAACATATTCCATGGACTATTTAGAAGGTATTTAGTCTCTAAACTATCCTATCATTTGTTAATTTATTAATATTATTTTTGAACATGATTTTGTTAAATTATGATCTGGGTTTCATATGTAAATATGTCTATCAATTAATTGTTGATCTTTTTATTGATTCAGAATGGCTATTATAACTAGCTAAAACTATAAGTAATGTCAATCAAATATTTTTATTGAATTAATTAGTTGAAAACAAATAAACATGAGCACTGTAATGTAAACTGCTTCATGACTTAGTCCTAGTGCTGCCACCTATTGTAAAGATTGTGAATTGTGTCAATATTTTCAGAGGATACTTAAATGTAATGTTAAACCTTTTTTTAATGGAGCCAAGTTATAGTACATTTAAAAAGTGTGGAGTGGGGGGAGTTTTTTTATCTGTTTCGCCTTAGTAAATTTTTTTAGTTACTAGAAGATACTGTATCTCTTTAATGAAATTTGTTTTATTTCTGAATGTATTAGTTTTTTAAAATAATTTAACTTAAATTTTTAGGGCTGAAAATATTTTTTTAGTAAATGAATAAACATTTCAAAAATTGAAGTATGTACAATTTTACTTAAATAAAAATTATTTTAGAAAATAATTTGATTTATAGCGCAGAACTTTGCTATTTCAGCATATTCTTCTGAAGTATTTATTTTTATGATAAATAAGGAAAGAGCAAAAGTAATTATTCTAGTTAATTTAGCATTCAAATATTCACATTATTGTTAATTTTATTTTACTTTAATTAAAAGAAAAAATGTTTAAGGACTAGATAACAAATAAAGTTTGAATCTTTCTCGGCTGACAAATAAAGTAATTAATGGTCCAAAAGAAATAATTTTTGTTAGTCAAATGTACTCGCTTGAATGTAGATTAAAAAAAAAAAGATATTTTAATGGATTTATCCTTCAATTTTTATTTTTGCCAAAAATGGATCAAAAAGTTCTATTAAACAGTTACCATAACTGGTTATTTTATTTAAAGTACTAGAAAATAAAATTCTCCCATTCCACTTTATATTATTAATTGGGGCAGTATAGGACTTCAGTGAGAGTCTTGGGCCAACAAAAAGAAAAAAAATTATTAATTGATATCAGTTAAACTTATTCAACATAATATGTAACTGTCTTAAAATTATTTTGATTTGTAAATGCATTTAACTATTGAACTAATTACACAACTTTACAATTGTACTAGGACATTAAGTCAGGGTATCTTATTTATATATTAACTAATAGTATTCTATGTGTTCATGCTTTAATATTTATTAAAAATTTGTTTGGATTTGAATTAATTTAATAGAAAAATGATTATTTTTACTATAATTATATAATTTCACTGAAAAAAAACAGAATGCTAGCCAAAGCCTCATAAATAATATCTCTTACATGTTTTGTAATATTAAATTTATTTGAGTTGTTGAATAGGTATTCATACCCATTTTTTTTAAGTTTTGTTGAGATAATTTTTTTTAATGTTTTATAAAACCATTGTTTTATGTATTTTTCCTCTGTTTAAGTTTGTATATATAATTGAATAATTTATATATTTATTTTAAAATAAATTTTAACAAGTACAACTGTTTTGATCTGTCAAATGTTTTACCTACCCTCTTCTGCATTTTGGTTCTTCTGGCATTGCTCATTTTGATCAGTATGAGAAAAATGACTGCACTAAATCTGTTAAATTACAGATAGTATATACTGAATGAAATGGAAGAGTCTTATAGTTTATTATTAGAAACCTACCCAATTAAGGATTATTTCAGAATCAAATCAATTTATACTCTATTAACATAAGACAATATTTAAAGCACAAGAATTTAATAAATAGGCAGTTTTAATGTTATTTGCCATTACTGTGTCCAAAAGGAACCTAACACTTTCTGAAGGCTACAGTTGGTCCCATTTAATGTAACTTTATTCCTTTTTTGTATTAAAATCATTCAACAGTTTTTATAACATACTTTTTATAATTTATAGTCTCAGGTTTATCTCAACAAGCTTAGAGAAAAAAAAAAAAAGTAATTTGTACAATCATCACCTTATATAAAAAGGGAAATAGAAGAGAATAAGGGGAAACGGATATAGTCGATAAGCATTAATTGGCATCCTGAAGATGAGAGTGAAACCTCGAGAAATCCTTTAAAACAGTTGAATCGCATAAAAAAAGAGACTTATTTCAATTTTACTTTTATATAATCACATGCCCTAAATTATTTAATTCTTAGTACAATATTTTAAAACCCTTATCAAATTCTTCATGATTCAATCAAGTTCATCCACTCTCCTGAACAAATGCTGCATAGTTAACTCAAAAATTAAATTAAAAACTTATTGTTATAATTTTTATTGATCATCCCCTCCCTATTCCTTTCTGGAATAAGGGGAGATGTTAAGGTAAAACCAAACCTATTATAACCAGGGAGGGAACATTGATTTGATTCCAAGGATCCGCCACAAATTAAATTTCGAACCCCTAGGCAAGATTGGAACTCGTGTCGTAAGACCCGAAAATGTTACAGCAAATAACTCTCGGCCATCATGTCCTCCAACTTAAGTCTTTCGCAATCTTATTCTTTTTATGAAGGCTTCAGGTTTGTTTTTACACATTAAGAAGCTTTCATTTAAAAAAGACACACCATGATTGGGAAATTCATCTTATTTGTTACCTTTTAATCTTAGCACTTAATGTGAGTCTTGAATTTGAACAAGGAAAACGGGTATGTTCAGTTATAATGAGAAACAACAGAAAGAAAGGCTTAAATCACATTTTTCAAACAAATATAACATGGGATATGCTCGGTATAATTAATGGATTGCTGCATACTTAAAAGAAAGCTTCTCATATGTTAAAATTTTAAAAACAACTAACAAGAATATTTAATTTAATTTGATAAAAAAAAGTTTAATTTTCAACACATTAACTGATCACTACTTAACATTATACAATTATTTACCTACAATTTTAACAAAAATAAATATTTAAAAAATTAAAAGTTGCCAGAATTCTTTTGAACCATTTGAGAAAACCGGTTGGCTATAAGTAATGATACATCAATGAATCTGTCTACACAATTCGCTAAACATGTTTCTGTTCTACTGTCTAGCTTATTTCCAGGTTTATCCATACATTTGTCCCAGCAAATATCACTGAATTCGTGAATCTAAAAAACAGACAAATGAATTATTAACGAAATCAGTCACGTTGAAATACTGATATTTACATTTATCTAACCTGTGCTTGGATTTTCGCTCTTTCTCTTTCAATCAATAGAAACTGTTGAAGTTCTGCGTCTACTTCCTTCGAATCGGGAAGACTAGAACTTATGCTTTGATCTGAGGAAAATATATCAGTCATCGCGAAATATCACAGTCTAATTCAAATGTGAGCTGTAGAAATTTCCAAGACTCCAAGCGATAACCAAAGAGCTAATGTCAGTTGGTTGGAAAATATATGATCAACATGCAAGTAGTTCTTGTAACATACTATTTACAAGTGTTAGGATTCTTCTTATTACATATCTTATTAAATATTGATTTTTTGAATACTGAAACTCTAAGAAAAACGAATTAACTAAAATATCAATTTTTTTAATATCAACAACGATCGAAATTTTATAGCTACCTAAATAGAAATGATGCATGAAAATTACGTCATACTACAAATTATTAAAATTATGGAAACGTTGATACAATTAATGAGTGAATGTGGCTTTATGGATAAAAATCAAGATATTTAATGGAAGCATTTGAATTTGTGTTTTTAAGATGAATTTTATTAAAGTTAAGACTTCTTCTGATTTGACGCGTCTGTTTTTTCAAGGACACAATCGTTCGTTTCACAAATCTAAAAAAGATTCTTTTAGTTTAGTGATTTGGTGTTTAATAGCAAGCTGTATGTTTTGGACAGATTCTTCCATTAACCAGATACATTTAACTATTTAGTTCGATATAAAACAAGAGAATGGAAGACATCTTACCGTACTCGCCCTGTAACAAATCATTGCAACAGACACAGAAACTGTTCCCAAAATAATAATGATTTGATTGAAATAAGGGTTGAAATAATCATATAATTTTTTTTAACTTTTGTTTTAGTAGCTGTCTATTCCAACTGCTACTCAAAACCATGATTTTTGCCCCTTTCTACAGAAGGATATTTGTACATTAAATCGTATGTCTAATAGTTTTTATTTTTTATTTACATTAATGAATGATCTGATTTAATCAATTAATCTTAATCTTATCTTTAGGTAAACGCTCGCCAGTTAATCTATAATTCCAATGTATCCATTCTACTGTCTGTTAGAACCTTTTTCATTAATTAACATAATACTGTCTTATATACCATTAATATCATTTCAGTTACATAACAGCCATGATTGTAATTTTTAATCATCTGTAATAATTTTCACAATCTCTATAGTATTATATACCTGAGTTTCAACTTTTATGATGAAAGAGTGGTATATCCTCCATCATAATAGCCCTGGAAACATCGCCATTCCTGGGTGATTTATGGCGTTAAATTTGATAAGCAAAGCGGAACCCGATTTAGCACCATTTTATTTATTTTGTTTCTCTGATGCAACATGTTGCTACGAAGGCGGTATGGTTGGTTATATCAAAGCCGTCAATAAAAACGACAAGTTAGATGAAGAACCAACAAACGGAGAACATCCAAAATAAAGATGTTGCCTTACAAGGTCATGTACTTTGGAAAACCAATTTTCATACAAGTCGTACGAAACTGAAATTACATAATTAAGGTAGATGTTTGCCTAGGATTTTACAGCAATTTTATTAACATAATTGGCCACCCAAAATTTACACTTTATATCATTGAATTTTTATATTACAATTTTCTAAAAAAAGCTCTAACGATTTTAATTAAACACATCATGTCAATGTAAAATGCAGCGATTCTCCATACCAGGTAAATATTAACCTCATTTTCAACGCCAATTTTTTTAAATTTCATACTTTAATTTCGTTTTATTTAACCCTTTCAGATTGGCAATGGTATAAAACAAAATTTAAGTATAAACTATGAATGTATTTGATATTTTATTAAAGAAAAAATAAGGCTTAGTTAGATGGAATTGAACCCCACTCAGAAGCAACTGAGAACGTCAAACCAATGTCGCAATTTTTAGGGCAAATGCGATCCTCAAAGAGTACAATGTTTTTTTCTATGAAAATATAGAAATGTCTAAGTATCCTGTTTCTTGTTTTTGAATTTCTGCTTTCGTTGTTTCTTAAATGTCTAAATATGGTTCTATTATTTCAAGAATAATAAACAAATCAAACGTTTTTAAAAAAATAATTCTTTATTTCAGTAAAATGTTCACAAAATACAGTAAAATATAACTTTAACGAACATTTTTAAAATTAAATATCATAGAATTATTTAGATTTTGGATTAAAATTACAGTTTTTGTATGGAATGGTATAGTATGGAGATACACTTCATAGAATGTTCGAAATGATTAAAATTTACATAAACACAATGTTTTTACAAGAACATTTTAAATTCAAATATGGAATATTACAATTATATAATTCAGAAGGATATCAGTTATATGGAACGTGATTTATCTTGTGAAAGACCAAAATTGTCTTCTGAATGGAATTTTCCAATATAAATTTATTTTTCAAATAATGAAATAAAAAAGTAAATCCATTTCGTAAGCCAATTAATGGATAGAAAAAGCATCCATTTAAGAAATGCTTAAACCTCATAAATCAGAAATAACATTTTTCCTATTCATATGATTAAAAGATTGGCAACTTTAAAACAATTATAACAGAAATGACCTTGTGCTAAAAAAGATCTGATGTTATATATAACACCTGATTTTTAGACAATTTTAAGCCATATTTTTTTTACAAATTTAAGTAATTGGAACACATTTGAACACTGACAGTTTTCACTCCATTTTGTTCATATAACTAACGTTATACTTTATTACAATTTTTAAAAAAACCAATTATCTGAATAAAATTAAAATATCCTCGAAAAATAAGGATTTCATTAAAAAAATATTGATGAAATTTCTATGGTGACAATACGTGTCTTAGTTTCAACAATTCTGATTCTTAGGAATGTAACATTATTTTGATAAAGCACTTAACAGAAATATAAATAAATAATTACATAAATTATAAAGCTAATGTGTTCAACATCAACTACAACAACAGATTGCTATGGAAAATAAAAACCTAACCATTTGAAGATCTTTCCAAAAATCACCTAAAAAATATATCAATCATTAGAAAACAAAACTTGAACAAATTGAAAAGTAAATTGTAAATTTAATCTAAATAAATTTCTGAGAAGGAGTTGATCGGGGGGTGCGGTCAAATAAATACTAAATTATATAAATAGTATTATTTAATTATTATGCCGACGTTTCGACCCGTATTGCAGGTCTTCATCAGGACGTGGGATGCGACACTGTGGGAGGCAGTTGAAACACACAGACATAGACCATTTTGCGGGACTTTGTTATTTCGACTCAGGTGACCTCAAAACATGTATTTCCGTTGAAAACTGAGATTCGAAAATTTTCACGATCGTAATACTTTTCCTTACATTTCATATATAGGTAAGTGAAAGTAAAAAGCATACTATCGGGAGAAAAAACTTGAATTTGGCTGCCGGTGTGACATCTGCTCTCAACTATAACATAATATAATTAACATACGTTTATTTTTACTTTCACTTACCTATATACGAAATATATAGTAAAGAAAAGTATTGCAATCGTGAAAATTTTCGAATCTGTTTTCAAGGAAAATACACGTATTGAGGTCCCCTGAGTCCAACAAAATAGTCTGTGTGTGTTTTTTAAAAGTCTAGCTCAAAAACGAAAAGTCGCACGAAAATGAAATTGTATATTTAAGGTTTGTTTATGTCTGGGATGTCACAGCAACGATTTCATCAAAATCGGCTAACAGGAATTGGCGCTTTATATCACCGTTTTAACACATTTTTACGATTTTCTCGAAAACAGCTCAAATAATTTTGATTAAATTCATCATGCCAATGTAAAATTAAGCAGTTTTTAATATAATGTAGGTTTTATTCAAATTGATGTTCTCTAACAGGGCTTAAATGGCTAACTTTCAATATTTCTACCTCTGAAGTACCTTTAATATTTGTTATTTGAAATAATTAACTATTTCACATTGAACTCTGATATAAAAAATAGTTAAATATAAAATATGAAAGAATCTGATAATTAACTAAAGGAGAAATAAGAGATCTTAACGGAGAATAATTGTAATGGAGGGACCAAAGGGATATGAGAATGCCACTGTAGTTTGCCCTAAAGATTAGAACAGGCTTCCATATGTAACATGAGCTTAACATAATAGGGACTTCCACAATATTATATGTTGTACATATACATATGCAGTTTTCCTAAATGCTGTCATTAATATTATTTAATATTCAATTCTATAGATTACAGTGATATAAAAATTTAAATTTGTATATATACATATAATTAAACAAATAAAAATACCCACAATGAAATATAAATAAATATAGTGACCTTCTTTATCAGTGGCACTCTTGTCGTAAAATATTTTGTCACACTTAATTATTTATTATAATCTAATAAATAATTAAAATATACAGTCGTAAAAGGAAATGGATAGTGTCAAACAAAATAAATATAATACATTAGACAGCTATAAAAAATATATGGTAATTGATTGTTTTAAATAATGTTTCGTACTGTCTATATTTTTTACTTTCACTTTCCTTTGTCAGAAAATACTTATTTCTGCAAAGAAGATGATAAGCGAAAGTTGTTAGATGAAAGTTTTAAAAATAAAAATAAGTGGCCGGGATGTGCAAATAATACAATTTTTACGCATTTCTTCTCCCCTTTCAATTCTTCAACCATCCCCGTTTGAATTGACAGACAAGTGCAACTGAATGCTGAAGATGGATTATTATAACGGTGCGATGTATGACTAAAAGTTTTCTCCAAATAAATCACAAAATGTCGACTAGGATCATGAATAGATCTTTTATATATTTTATAATCTCAAAATGATCTATTACAAACTAAAATTTTAATTATTTCACACTAGACTGAATGAAACATATCTCACTTAAAAGCTCATGATAATCACTGTCCACATCTTTGTAAGACTTGTGTGGCTATTTGCAATTTTTTAATACTTTGTTGTTTAAATATATATGAAATGAAGTAAAAAAAACAACAGTGATTATACATTCTTCCTCATTTCCTGATAATTAAAAAAAAAAAATTGTTTTAAAAATTCACTAATCAAGTTTCAAATTTTCTTCCTCTTATTATTTTTATTGTGAACAAAATGTGTTTTTATTCACTCTTACAATTCACCGATTAAATCAACTTTTGAAAAATCAATCTTTTCATGATACTTAAAAAAATTAATGGCATCTAAATTATTTATAAACTATTATCTGAAACTCAGGAGTACAAGTATAATTAAAAATAAAATCATTCAATTTGGAATAAATAATACAGATCAATATCAGTTTAAAAAAATATATATTTATACATACATACAATACTAATATATGTACTTTACATATCATAATAGTAAAACTAATGGTCAAAATTACATAATATAATGAATATATTAAATGTTATAATCATACAAAATCTGTTCCAAAATGACTTTTGGCTACCAGTCAATTAGCAGGTGTAAGTGCAGGTTTTAGAACGGAAAAAACAGTTATGCGGCTGCAAATGGCAGTTTGCTGATAGTTAAAACTCTAATATTGGAACCGACTTGTTATGTATATCATAGGAACAAGGAATATCTTTTTATTCACAATCTATGAATATAAATTATTTCAACTACTAAAAGTAGAAGTAAATATTTCAATAATAACGTAATTAATTATAAACAAAACAAAAATAAAAATATAAATAATAATAATATTTGAGATACATCAGTTTCCACAGTCATTAAACAACTTACCACTTAAATCTCATTTGTTTTAAAGATATAATATAAATAAAGTATACGTATAAATGTGTACATACATCCATTAGAACTCAGAAAAAAACAATACAACTAATTATGATAATAAAAAAATAGATTAATTATAATATTAAAAATTATAATAATTAAATTGAACCCCTATACATTGAATGTTGATGTAGTAAAAATATCTTTATAAATTGAAATTCATTCAAATTTCTTGAATGTTTATTATAAAAAAATTTCTGAATCCGAAAACATAAAAAAAAATATGTGACATAGTTCAACAAGGCAACAGAAATCCAATGATGGGAAGAGAATATTTGATTAATATTCTGCTATGGTAAACAAGTAATATATTCTAGCATAGTTAATATTTCTTTATAGGATTTCTGAAGACGCAATTGTTTACTGAATAAAATATGCACAAAAATAAAAATAATGCTTTATCGAGAAAAGTAAGAACAAATTCATTATTATGACTTCATATGCTATAAATTTACATAATTAGTTCATAAGTATAATAAAAATAACAAAACAGAATATATACATAACTAATTATTTTTATTTTATTTTTCCATTTCAACCACAAAAATTCAACTTTAATTCACGTTAATATACATTATAATGATATATAATTCAAAGAAGAAAAGAATTTAATATATTAATTTTTATTTTTATTAAAAAAAAAAACGACCATTAAATTCATTATATAAAGGTTCAAATACAATAATAATTTAGTAATAGATATATATAAACAAATATTTCATAATCAAAATATTAATTTTAGCTCTAGAGACAGAAACAAATTAATGACATCTGTTTATCCTACTACTGAGGGAAGAAAAAGTAAAAGAAAAGAAAAAAAAAAAAGATTCTACCAATTTTACAAAAACTATACATCTTAAAACCAACCATTCAAAACCAACTTTAAGATAATTTATTTCCTTAAGATAAATAAACAAAATAATTGAGAGTATTGATTATTTTTAGGTACTTCTTTATTCATTATTAGTTTTAAGTGCTTTGGTCCCAGATAGTTTGATTTTTGGAATAACATTATAATGATAATGAATCATTCACTGGCCCTTAATAATCTTTTTATCTTAAAATATTAAAGATGAATTCCTATCACAGGTATTAGGTTCATAAAAATAGCTTGAAAATAAATCTTAACATCTTAAGAGACAATACGTATCACTTCTAATACATCACAGCTGAGCGTTAATAAACATCTACTCACTTATTCACAAGTATATTTCACTTTCTTCTATATGAACTATATCTACAACTGTGAAAATTGGGCGGATCTTGGAGGCACTGTTATTTATAAGGCATCGTCAATAGGTGGGATGGTTTAAAAACTGAACTATAATGATCAAAATTCTTGTATAATTGGATGAAACGCAAGCACTTCTTTTCAACGATGAATCGTATATTGTGAAGAGAAAAATTTGGAATTCTTTTTGCTATGTAATAATATAACTGAAACATTTTCAACACAAAGACTTGAGTCTTAAAAATCTTCGCAAACAACTAACCAGTCAACACTTCATAGATTCAGACATAATCAGGACAAAAAAAAAAACGAGATCACAACTAACATCCAATGCCAAAAAAAAAAAAAAATAAAAATATGCGCATAACTTTAAGAATTCTAAAACATACTGAAGTATTGTAATAAGGCTTAGAAATCTTCCAATAATCTCAAAAATTAAACAATATATTTCTGTATATTGATATAAGAGAGAGTTCCTCTTAAGTACATATTTCTCATTTGATGCAACAACGTCATAATTCATTCAAGATTTTGCAGAAGGTACATTTGAAGCAGACCTGGGCAGTATTTCAAATAAAATATTTTACAATACAAAAAATTCCCAAGATTCTAATTTATTTTACAATTTTTATTTTTTTGAATGCATAAAATAAATTGCCAAGCTATTTAGGTTCCTTTAAGTATTGTAGCTATGCTAATCATTAGCATGAACATTCCTTCCTGTGAACAACGAGCTTAGAAATTTATGAAGATCAGTTTTGTTAAATTTATAATACAATTAGCTTTTGCCATTAAATTGATTAGCCTTATGAAATCTATATTAATTTCAGTAAATGGAAATGCTGCCAATTGGTACTTCCTTCAAATGTTAATATCATGCTTTATATTCTTATTTCATAATTTTTTATGACCACTTTAAATAAAAATATTGCATGATTCACCAAGTGCTCAAAAATGACACTCTACCAATTAAAATTACATATCACTAAAATTAATCATGATATCAAATCATGATTTTTGAGTAATGGCGTTGTTACAGCAAATAAGCATAAGTATAATAATGTTAAATTGGTAAAAACTAAAATACCCTATACCTCACAGATACAGATTAAGTTAAAACAAAAAAATGTTCTAGAAAACTGAAATATATCTCAATATATATTGATTAAATACTTCATAAATAGGTTATGAAATATGTGACTTAATTTTATATACAACCCATTCACTACCAGCCTCACATATCTGAGTTAGGTTTTGGTCAATTTAAGATAAAAAGTAGAAATACGTTATGTTTTAATAATAATTATCAATTTTTTACAATAACAACATCTGTGAAGGAAGTCAAAGATAGCATAAGGAAAATTAATGAAGTAAAGAACATAATCAGAATATAATACTGATAACATTTTTTCCCCTTATTCAATCTAAGTAAAGAAGTAAGACAATATAATATATCTAGAAACTATTTTATTTTATATTTATTCAAATTTAAAAAAATCTTTTGGTTAAAAAATAAAAACCTGTACCATCACAATACAACTGTAATATAAGATGATGTTTACTACTTTACACAAGGCTAGGTAATAATAAATATTGGTCATTTTTTTATTGTATCTTAGTGTAGTTGAGTTTCATGTTGTCATCTATTTTCTTACATCAAGTCTGTGTGCTGATTTATATGTTTTATATATTATATATGTAGATATATAAAGTCAGTAATAAGAACATATGGATGACTAATGTTTTCTGTTTTTTTTTTTGTTTGTTTTTTTGTAGCTGCTACATGATGGATATGGTCAAAATTAGTTGAAGAAAATTTTTATTCTCCGAATCCCTGTCAAAAAACAAAATAAACATTTTCAATTAATAAAAAAAAATTGTTCTTAAATAATTAAAGAAAATAAAAACTTTAAATTCTGAAAATATGAGAAGAATTTTAAAAGCAGTACAAGAAAATGGAAAAGTAGTGGGTGAAGATAATAGAAGAGAGAATATTATTTTTGTTTCATTAAAGAGTTTTAGGACTATCAGGCAATTTTTGAAATGAATATAAATTTAATATTTTTTGACATGACATTCATAATAAAAAGGGTAGAGAATTTTCATTATTATTGAGAAAATTATTTTTAAAATTTTGTTACATAAACCAAAAAATCACAAATATAAACCTATACATCACAAATACTTTAGCAACAAAATCGAAAATGATGAATACCAACAATAAATTGTGGATAATAACACAAGTTCTTTTCTTAAGGTACTGGTAGTGAAAGGGTTCTGTACAATGACTAAATAATTATATTTAAAGAAATTACCGAGAACAAAACCCCTCTAAAATATGTCCAAAATGACAATAATCAACTGATTAAAATAAACAGAAAGGTTATTTATAATTTAAAAGATTATAGATATTTTAGAGTAAGAAATATAGAAAGACTTCAATATTAGCACCAGTCCGATTTGAATAAAACGTTACTTTAACAAGTAGATAAAATAAAATAATATTTGCAACTCTTTAACACATATTATACAAGTTATCGAAGTGTCCTGAAAACCATGGGATTGGATGGATCCAAATGTATAGGCAACTGTGAAATCGATATCATTATGTTAAAAGTCAGAAATGTTAACTTAAATTATAAATCTGTGCCCCGGAGGTAAACGATACTATGTCCATTTTTTCATTAAATAATTTAGCTCAGAGTTATGGAAAATTGGCTCCCTAAACAAATACAAATATGGGACATAGTGTCCTTTATCTCATGAGTACAGATTTAGTAATAAAGAAACAAATTTTAAAAGCCCAAAGTTATGGAGCATTGGCTCCCTTGAACAAAAACTAAAATGTACATTGTGTTGTTTACCTTTGGTGTACAGAAATCATACAAAACTATGCACAAAATTGAATATAAAACAAATAATAGAAACAAAAAATAGAGTACGATTGTAACAACAAAAGATGTTAGTATGTCCCACAACTGGCTTTTTGTTTTCCAATTATTTACTTAAAACCATAATTTAAATTAATTGCACATAATGTGCTTTAATACTCCAACTAGGGCTAGAAAGACGGGTTATCAAACAGTTTATCAACATATTCTAGCCAAAGTGAACAGTTTAGGATTCATTCAAGACCGTGTTAATATTTTTCTGCTTAAAAAATCTCAAATCTTGTGGTGCAAGTTCGAATCTGGCCTGGGCAGGTTGAGATTAATTTCGTGGCGAACCCATGGAATAAATCTCAACGTCCCATCTCTGGTTAGAATAGGTTTAGTTGTATCTCTAGAACACTTTTAGTAGGGAGGGAAAGATGGCTGAGAATAATAGTGTGCATACAAAACACGTGTTGCCCAGCAACCGGATAAACTGAAGATTATTAGTTTAAGACTGGTGTAGGACTTTTAGCTCTGGTATTAATCTACCGTCTTTTACCCTGGCCCAAGAAAAACTCCATATAATCGAAAAGAAGAGGCACAGAAAAAAAAAACCTCCAGTGGATCCACCACAAAATAAGCTGCCCAGGTCAGATTTGAACTGGCACCATGTTTGACTCGAGAAGTTTAAGTATGCAACACTTTAACAAGCTCGGCCAGCACATCCTGGAAAAAATTTAATCTGAAAACATGTTAATAAACAAGGCCACAGATATAGATAGAAACCAGTGGATTGAGCAACCCAAATATAGAAGTAAAAAGTATATAGAAATGTATATAGAATATAGAATAGTATAGTGTAGAAGAATAAAAGTAAAAAGTAGAATTAAAGTAATGGTGTAAAATACTTGACTTGATTATTAACAAACATGAAAAGCCATTTTCTAGATTAGGATTAGTTTTACATGAAACTAATCAACCTGTCGATTTCAAAATACTTTTAGCACAGAGATAAAACTAATCCAGAATTATTCAACTCTGAGGTTAAAGGCTCGTAAATACAGAACGCGATAAGTTTCAGCTATATGATAATGTCCATGACGATTTGGTAATGTAATTGAGTAACTTTCTATTCCATTATCAGTTACAAAGGGTGCAATAATTTGTGCAGTGATACCAACAAAACGATTGGAGATTGCCGGGTCAGATCGCATTCTGTTTGCATAAGCCATGAACAGGAACCGGAAACAAAAGTTTTCATAATAGAAATAGTCAAATTCAACAAATTTCGGCTGAATTAAACCTAACATGATTTCTATTTAACCTCTCACTTAGTAAATGATATTAAATATTATTTTTAAATAATATATTTTAAAATTTGTTTTTTGAAAATAAACAAATACTTACTGTAGTAGCACCGATTCTTGACAGATACCTGTTCCTTATTTGAAAATCTGATTGCGGATTTATAACTTCATAAGGGCTGACATCCGCAGAAGAATGGGCTCTTGCCCTATCTGCTAGATTATTTTTCCTATGACAGAAATTAGAGTAAAAAAAAATGTAGGATTTAAAAACCATTGAATCATCAGCGAATTTGAACTTACGGGTCAGTCTTCCAAAATGGCATAATTTTGTCCCTTATATTTTAATTGAATAAATCATGATAAAAAAAAAAAAAAAACTCACATTTCTAATTCAATAAGGAAACATTATTACATACAATTTTTTATTTATTTAAATTATATAACTGTTAACACAAAATAATTGCTATAGAATGAAAATTTGGTAGCCTAATTACCATAATTATAAGCCAATGTAACAAAAATAAAGCATGAACTAAAAACAATTTCAACTTGATTTGGATTAACAAAATCACAAAAAAAAGAAAAAATAAGTGTTTTTATTATCTGAATGAAATTTATAGTTTCTCATAAATCCACTGAGCAAAACAAAATTGAAATAAATTTTAAAATAGAAGGTAATTCAATAGGAGATCTTTGGGCCCTAGCAGAGAAGACTTCTTATTAAGCTACACAGTTTATTGTAATACCAAAATATTGAGTGTTACTTTCATAAGTTATTAATAAATAATAATCATAATTTAATACTGACCCTTTATTTAGCTCATATTCTTCCCGCTGAGAAACAGTCATATTCAACATTCCTGTTGTGTTCATATCATAAAACCATACACATAAACAGGCAATTAAAGAAACTAAAATTAGAAAGAGAAATAAAAAATAAATTAAAATGAAGCAGAGATATAATTCCTAATAATGAGTTAAGTAAATGAAAATATAAACATACCGAATAGCCAAAACAAAAAGAATATTTCTAACATAAGATAACCTCCATTATCTACGATCATTCCAGCCAACATGGTGCATATAGCCAGACCGAAATTCTGACAAGCTTGAGCCCTGAACAATAAAATGTTGAACATTAATTATTTCATTATTATACATAGTATAAGTGTTTCATTTAAAAATTAGGTTAAGCTATAGTATTATAACATTTAATTGACATGTGGGCAAAGATCATATTACAGAATAAACCAGGTCCTGTGTTTTAAAGCCCTAAAATATATTTTAATCTGATTTGTTGTAATGTTTAAAAGACACTCAGCTCGCTTTGGTATTCCTTGTACTATGTGAACTTGGCCCACCTATCATCATGATGTAAGACTGCTTTATTAATTAAAATCAAATCAAAAGTCAAAAAGATTAAAAAATAAATCAAAAGAAAGTTTGTGAACTATATTTTATAGATGACAAATTTATACATACACTTTATATCTATTATATAAAAAAGTTTTTAGTCAGTTTCATATTATATTGTATTATCAGGAGAGTAGAAAAATGACAGGAGCTCAACTTATAAAGCAATTATTTAACAAATGATACAGCTGTTCATTTAATTATATGTGTTGAGCTCTTGTTACCTCCTACTCTCCTAATACAAAATAAAGATTTTATAATGAAACTTTGTAAGGGGAATGGAATTCATCTGGAGGTGGTAGTTTGATTTTATCTAGGTGAGAGCAGTTATTTGTCAATCCAGACGTTTCCTCTTAAATACAATATATTAATGGTTATATTATATATAATATTATTTATATCATATTGTGATATAATTCTAATTATAATGAAATAGAAAAGGAGGCACAGTATAACATACAATGAAAATATTAGAAATAAAAGGCTCAAATTGATATTGGGCTTATATGAAGCTGAACAAGTTGAATATATATTATGGCTAAAAATTGGGAACAATATAAATTGGTAATAAGGCACGATGTATAATATAGATTTTTGAAGGAATTGAAAATTTGTCCGAACTGTGGTTTCGTTCAATTTATTTTATGTTGTTAAAAAATAATAAAACCTGAACTATAGAATAGATGTAAATTATAAGAAATTTGATCAATGAGTAAAACAATTAAATGAATAGTTGTATAATTTGTAAAATGTGGGCTGGCCTGTCATTAGACGGATAGGGGGAATTCCCCTAGAATTTATATATATTTTTAAATTATCTGGATAAATCAATAAATGAATATATATATAATGTTATATATGAATATATAAGATATAATTACACTCCATAGGCTGAGCCAAGCTGATATTCAGGTATCACCATAGATACCATTGGCCAAAGTGCACCAGCACACATCGAATAGGCCACGCCAAGTAATACCTGAAATACAAAAATTTATGATAATAAATATGTTTTTCTTCTCATATGAAATATCACGTCCTGATGTTGACCCACATGTTTGGATTGAAACGTTGACACAAATAAAATTTTTTTAAAAAGACTGTCCTGAATATTTATCACCATGATATGTAGAACATTCAACTAGCTTCCATCAATATATTATTTTTGTTTCCTATTCTTAAAAATTTAACATTGTATATAAATATAACTCTTAGAAGTCAAAACAACATTCTATGTAATAAGGGAATGATCAACTGATGAATTATAGAATAATGATATATTTAACAAATTTTTATGAAACAGTGCATGGTAGGTAGATAATTTTTAAAAGCATTAATTTTAAACCAAAATATTTAAAAAAATTAGTTAAAAATAATAAATCCTTTTTTACATGCTTACAGTAAAGTATTTATACTAGTAAAACTGCCTACAGTTTTTCAGATTGATTGACTTTCATGAATTTTTCAAGCTGGTAGTTCCTGAGATTAGGACTCCCGATTAAACAAACTCAATGGTTTTATATATTTGTATGGAATTACTTACCATTGCGTAATATGGATTAATAAAGGTGAAGGCTAGAAGACTATGGGCACCGATTGTGGAACAAATTGAAATAAAAACCCAAAACAAGTTCCAGCCAGTTTTATCAACAAGGAGACCAAGTAATGGTGAGGCGATGGTAGAGATTATATACAACATGCTATTTACAAAGTTGGCATCATCTGCACTCAGATCAAATTTTCTCATAAAAAATACCCTAAAAATATTTTTAATTTACTAAAAGGTTAATGTTAAACTTAATAAAAGCAAAAGTTGTGTACATACTTTCCTAGTGCAATAAGAGGAAATATGGCAATGTAATATGCAACACAAATTACACTTATTAACCAAAATGCTGGAGAAAAGTCAAGGACATCAGATAACTTTACTTCATCTTTCTTTTCATGTTCCTCGGTTTGATTTGATTCGGGTTTTTGTTTTTTATCTAACCAAGCCAGTCCAATAGCAGCGATGAACGATATCAAACATGTTAATGATGCTAAAATTTAATAAATATGAGAATGGATAAGTCAGTGTAGACTATGTAAATATATGAAATTTTATGATATTCAAAGATAACATACCAATAAGCAATGATACGCCCAACCCCTCTCGCCCTTTAAAATAATGATGTACATATTTATGTAATGGTTCCATTATGATGAAATTTACAGCAGAACCAAGTCTAGCAAAGCTAAGTTGTAAGCCAAATACCATATTAAGTTCACGACCTCTGAACCAAATAACGGCATAATAATTTTGAGCTACAGCTAACGATTCACCACCAATCCTGCAAAAAAAAAATAAATATAAAAATAATACATAAACATTCATATACCTGTAAAATGTTTAAAGAATTCAATATGCCATTTGTTTAGAAAAATAACAGGTGCTTTAAAAGGACTTTTAAGACAAAAATCTTCAAAATTGTAGACAAAAATATATTTTGCAAATTTGTTAAAATTAGCAAATATATAAATAATATCATATAGCACATTAATCTAGAACATTTTCAAGTTGAAATTACTTTGAAAAATTATATGAGCTTATAGCACAGAAAAATAATGTTTACTTTCACTTACCTATATATGTAATATATAGTAAGGATAAATATTACGATCATCTGAGTTTTTTGAAAACATTTGAATCTGAGTTTTCAATGGAAATATGTTTTGATGTTTCCTGAGTCCAAATAACCAAGTTCCGAAAAATGGTCTGTGTATATGTGAACAGTATAGCTCAAAAACAAAAAGGCGTATGAAACTGATATTACATATTTAAGATAGGTATATGGCTTAGATGTGGCAGCAACTTTTTCCTTAAAATTAGCTAACCAGAAGTGCCACTTTATATCAAAGATGAAACACAATTTTCCCAAAAACGGTTCTAACGATTTTGATTAAACTTGGTGTATCATTGTTAATTGAGTGGTCTTTAATATCATTTAGGTCTTATCTCCATTGATGTTACTTTACAGGGCTTAAATGCCAAATGTTCATATACATCTTTCGCTAAAGTACCTTTAATATAATTTATTTTAAAAAATTAATTCTCTTTTATTGACAGTAACTATAAAAAATGGCTAAATATGAAGTTTGAAAGAATATAATAATTGGAAACTGGAGAAAACAAGAAAATGCTTATCCAGGTTGAAAATGAATCGCCAGAAATAAGTCAGCAACTATAAGTATAATATATCGTTGGAAAGCGGAGAATTTCAGAAAAAATAATATCAAATAAATAAAGTTGTAGAAGGTAACGGAGAGTGATTCCAAAAAAAATCATCAAGTAACCTTTTAAAACATTACATTAGTGAATAATTTGATGAATTTTCCAATTAGTGTGACAACTTTTGACCTATCCATGGCAGGCAATGAAAATCCCATAATTTGGTTTTAGTAAACTTTACAATGGAAAATAACAGTTCAATAACTAATAGTCCTACAATCCATAACCATTTATAGGTTAAATATTCAGATATACCTTCAAACTTCTCTAGGCATATATGAGCCTTTCGTTGACAAGCAATTTCAACATTCTTCATTATTAATTTTAGTGATGTTTCTAATGGCAAAATTTATACCTATTCACAGTTCTATACTTCAACACTGCAATCACCTACTATGGAATCAACTTACTTACTGTTTGTATAGATAACTTTTTCATCTATAAATATCACTAAAATGGCATTACTCAAAAATGTTGAAATTGGAGTTAGTCATTCTGTCAACTGAAAGGCACATAGACTGAAGTTGTGTGGTTTATAAAAGCAGATGGAGTATAATAACATATAATAAAAAGACTTTTTGTAATTTTAATGGTTCAATGATTTGTTGTCTGTAAGCTTCAAGCTTTAGCTCCGTTTAAAATGCACTTTAAAATTTTTATAATAGCCCAGCATTTACAGAAAATAATTTCTATTCAAAGTAGAGCGGTAAATGAAAGTTTTGTTTAGCACGCACTAGATGTTTTCATAATATCTAAGCAATTAGTTGACCAACAATTATACATTTCATCACAAAATAAACTATCCCTTAAGATCAATATTGATTAACTCAAGCTACCATTATGCAACGGTATATAATTAGAAAGTATAAATTTTGGCCTGAGATTCTATGTGAAGTCATCAGTACGAAGGTACAACTTTCGAAGTAAAGTGAGAGTATATAGTCTCTCACAAAAGCATGAAATTCATCTAATAAATGTCTAACATAGAATTTAATAACCATATTTTAACAATCCTGCATCTTTTAAAGTTATTATATACCCATCTATACTACTTTTTAAATACAGAATATTTCATGGACAGCTTATTTTACAAAATCTTATTTTTCCTTACATCAAATAAACATAATATTTTTAGGTTTAATTATATAAAATAATTGGTAAAATGTAAAATACTTCAAAAACCTACTTTGTCAGTGTAATAGATCAATATCAGTTCATGCAGAATATTTCATAAAAAAAATCTACATCCAGATTATCCTTCAAAATAACACAATTTGATTAGAAAAGTAGTATCTTATTGTCTACATAATTATTTAAAAATACATACATAAGGCCGGAACCAACATTCAAAAAATCTTGAATTTTAAACTACAAAAGATATTACTAGTACTGGTACTGGCTGGCATTGGTGGGGGGAAATAGTCCAGCAAGTGGGTTTTGTCGTCCTTTATGCCAATTCCTGACAGCTACCTAAAAGTTGCTGCCATGTACAAACCAGAGTGGGAGTGACAAGATTCATTTCTTAGGGCCTCTGAGAAGTAAATAAAAACTGACTGAGAAAGGAATCGAACCCTTAATGTTCAGAACCGGTCACTCTGGGACCCTAGTTCAAACAAGCTCGACTATCACATCCTGACAAGACATAATAAGGATTGTTCATCAGCAATAATACAAGTGTTAAAAATATTAGATATATTTCAACAACATTTGGACTTATTACGGTTTTTATCCCTTTTGAGCAGAGATGAGCAAAATTGGAATCAATGATTACAAATGAAAATTAAACACGCCAATTTCATACTTGATTCAGTAGCACAATAAATATAGAAAAAATGTGACACGATTACCTTATTATAATCGTATTTGGAAACTTGATTATGATTGTGTCCATCTATGCTTCTGAGTGAGAATAAGTCAAAAGCAGGGAGGTAATTAAAACTAATTAATGTCATAATTTACCAGAAGTACCAGTAGGGTGTTTGCTAGTGATGGGGTCTGAGATTTTCCATCACAGCTCCGGGAAAATCACAGTGATTTTGTTTTTATGGTGATAAGTATACAATGGCTCCTTGGTGAAAGCGTCACTGTGAAATCACAGTTTAAATGTTTAAACTTATATCAAAATAACAAAATAGATTTTTTTTTCCAGTGATAAATTTTATATTTTACAGGGAAAAATACCTCTGGGATCCCTTGGTTTCTGTATACAGCCCTGCAGAGAATATTTATATCCTTTATAAATTTATTTAATTTTTTATTTACATTTCAACAGTTAAATGAAATTAATGACTTTCCAATAATTATTTCAGAAATAACCCATTCAGAAATATATGGCAATGAATGTTCAATTCATCCAAAGTTCAAAAAGTATTTTTAATAAAACTTGACGAGTAACTATTATTTTAGAAATAATAATTTCTTTAATTCATTTATTAAATAAATTATGTCAACATTGTCCAAATCGCTGAAGCCATAGGAGTGATCACAGCTGTGATTTCACAGCGTCTACAGTGACCATCACTGTTGGAGCACAGTGATTTAGCAGCGCCAACAGTGACAGTCACTGTTGGGGCGCTGTCATTTTGTTGCTCCTGTAATCACCAGCTCCGCCTAAATGGCCTCATCGCTATTGTTTGCAGAAGTCAAATCATTATCTAAATAAAGGGTGGTTATACTGTGAATACCATCATTCTTCGACTATTCTGGGAATTTTATAGCATTATCAAGGGATCTTGGTACATTTATCAAAGGTAAGGGTAATTAATACATTAATTAAAAGGATAAGTAATATAATTAAGATATTAATTAATATAATTAATGAATTTTTAATGATCTGGCCTGGCAAACAGTAGTTTACGCTTAAAGTGAAAAAATAAATGTCAACTTACCCAAAAATTACTCTTCCAACTATCATTAACGGAAAGCTGTCGAACAGTGATCCCAGTGCAACAACTACTTGTCCAGCAAAAACTATGAATGCATACAATGCAGTACCGAATCGGATTCCAAACACACTAAAATTTTATGAATGTTAAACTCATTTCTAAGAAATAACACATTGTAAATATGTATATAATTATAAATACCGATCTATAAGAAAACCACCAACAAAACAGAGTATCACATTAGGCCATGAATAGCTGGCATATAAATAGCTGAATTGAGCAGTTGTTAAAGACATGTCCTTTACGATTACATCCTGTAAAGCTCCAGGATTGTCATAACAAAAATATGAACCTTAACAAAAAAAATTGTAATTAGGAAATGAAGAAATATTCATAATTATAAAAATAAATAAAATGTAAATAACTACCAAATCCGAGAAAGCACATCATTGCAAGTGCAAAGTATCGATAACAAGCTCCTCCAGGAGAACAGCATCCTCCACCTTGAATTAAAAAAATGTCTGACCTATCATCATCAGCTTCTGATGCTTCATTTAACATTTTATATATTTTAAATCAATGAATGATACAAAAAATGAATGATAGAAATACTTAGTTTCTAAAACGATGCTTTAAAAACTTAAAATTAGATAACTAATTTCTGAACAACATTTTAGATAATTTCATTTGTTTCTGATTAACAGTATCAGCATCTATCAACAAGAGATATTAAAAACAATTCATAAGGACAATAGAAGGGACAAAAACCAGCTGACTATTTGTCAACAAAGCATAGTTCTTTGATCAGTTCAATCTTGAATCGATATTTACATCGAAGAAAGTTTTAGATCTCGTAATTATAAACTTAAAGATTATTCTGAAGTATAAATGAAAAAAAGTTACAAACACTTAAAGGGACTTTAAGGAAGGAGTTAGTTCTGGATGGCGGTCATAAATAAACTAAATAGTGGCAAAACTATTTTATTAAAAGCCAACGTTTCGACCCGACTCTGCAGGTCTTCTTCAGGGAGGTGTGTTCAGCAAGGAGTTTCACTTACAACTGTTCAGTTGCTCCTTGCTGAACACACCTCCCTGAATAAGACCTGCGAAGTCGGATAGAAACGTTGGCTTTTAATAAAATAGTTTTGTCACTATTTAATCTATTTATGCCCGCCACCCCGGATTATCTCCTTCCTTAATAATACAACGGTCAACTATTAGGTATTCAATTAAAGGGAATTTCCTTACACGATCAATATTCTTCCGTTAATATCGAATTTCAAAAATATATTGACTACGTAAGGACTAAATTGCATTAAATAATTTACGTCAATCAAACTAATTATTATATATTTTTTTATTGAAGCAATCTCAATACTATAGAAGGAATGTCAATATCACTGCTCTTTTTAGTGCTGTATTGCGCAATATTAAATCATTTATAGGGATCTAGGACTTTGAGAAGTGATACAATGTTTCGAAGCTTCTCATGGCTAGAACGAGGGATTGAATGTGTGTATGGTGAGGGTCAACCGAAATTCACGAAACAGATTACCATTCTACTGTTTGTTATTTTGTACGCTACTTTGGGATTGATGTATCTTCCATCCGTACAACGTGGAGCTCCCATCTCAGCCTTGCTGTCCGGATATATTTCCCTACACCCGACTCCTTGTATAAGTTGGCTACTTCTTCGTTGCGCCTAAATCTCCATTCATCATTCTTAACTGGAGCAAATATCTTCCAAAGGATCTTTCTTTCGGAAAATAACATTTCAAGCAGCCGTTCAATGAAAAGAGAAACATAGGGAAAATTCATCCTCATAGACGAATTTTCTAATGTAATATATATATTTAAAAAATAATTGTTGTGTCCAGCACTAACGAATTCTGGATGGTGGATAAAAAATTCCGAAATAGTTCCAAAAAGCAGCGATTTAAAGAAAATATTAATATGTCGAGAATTCATCCTTATAGACGAATTTCCTAATGTAATATTAAAACAAAATTATTATCATGACCATTTTTATTAATCTTACGGTTTATTATAACACGTCATCTCACCAGGCTCTCTATCAACTTGCACTCAGCCTTTGGCGCACGGGTCGATTTTGTGAAACAAAGAATAGAATGTAAGAGCAAAAGTCAGCTCGTAGGGTAAAGTTATGTAGTTTTTGGGCCCCAGTGAGATGCGAATAATGAGTTTACCCGTATTTATGTTACTGCGTTGCTGTTTGCACCTTAAGCAATACTTAATAATGATTTAAATGAATAAGAAACTAACCGTCACAATTGAGCCCGTTGCTTTATTAACAGAACGAACGTAATTTCTCTCATGTACTCTGAAACTTTTCATAATTTTAAAAAAGTTGCTGGTGCCCTCGCAAGTATGTACGGCCCTAACTGCATATATATCCTATTGAAGATGTAGTATAACTCAATATATAACATTTAACCCTATTAATAATGTCTTAAAGACATTCGTGAAAATAAAATAAATAGTTGTGATTAAAATATGAGATCATATGTCTAAATTTAGTAGATCCTATAAGTATTTTTTTTTTTTGCCCTGGGAATCATGCCCTGGGAATCATTCACCACCACGTGCATGGCTAGCCCGAGATTTTTAATTTATGTATTTATTTAATGAATAATTGAAAACAATAGAGATAAAGAGAGAGAAGTGAGAGAAAGGGAAACTAAATGTTAAAAAAAAAAAAAAAGCATAAACAATGAAACGAAAGAAAAAGGAAAAAAAAAAAATAAATGGAAAAAAAATAATAAAAATGTATATATATATATCTATTTTACTAATATTAACTAATACTTCTGTATATTTATATATAAGTTCATATTTTGTCCTAAGGATAGAAGAGTATGCTGTGTGTATAGCAACCCAATATAATTGGGCACCAATCCTTTATATTTTATATTTTATGAAAATAAAGTGTTTCTCTCTGGCGAAGTTAAAACTGGAGTTAAAAAGATTTAACTTTTATATCGATACCCAGAGGACTCCTCTTTGTTATGTTGTGGGTTAGGTTATGGCGTGTACTAGAGCAGGTTAGGTTGTGGTGAGGTTTAAGTCAAGTGTGTTTAGGGAAGTTGTGGTAATAAGTATATTAAGCTATAAAGTCACTCACCTGCTTTTTCATGAGTTGTCCTGGAAACAAGAAAAATATATCTATCATCAGGAAAAAATTTTCTCTCGCCATGAAGAGGCCACTATCTCAAATTCAATTTAACATAAATACTAATAGACAAAGACATGTGGAGGGACCTCGCCCCAGGGAGATATCTATTGAAATTCAGCGAAAAACGTTGCCTATAAACAGAGTGAAGAGGAGGTATGTTCTGTTAATAGTGATCAGGATTGTATTAGTTAGGCATTTTCTAATTTCATTTTTGTCAACAGGCTTCTTATGGAAATAGAGAAAGCGGAAACAGTTATATTATTAGGAGAAACAGGCTGTGGTAAAACCACACAGATCCCTCAATACTTGCTCGAAAGAAAACTTAATCGTGATGGTATCATCGGAATAACTCAGGTATTGACATTATTTTTTTTACTATGTTCGAATATTAGTTTCATTAGAATTATATTGGCATGGTTATTAACAAACGAATTTTAGCCTAGAAGGGTTGCAGCTGTAACAGTGGCAAATCGAGTTGCGGTTGAAATGAAAACATCCACTGGTCAAGCAGTTGGTTATACTGTACGATTTGAAGATGCAACATCTCCTCTGACAAAAATAAAATATTTAACTGATGGAATGTTATTACGAGAAGCCATGTCAGGTAACGATTTATATACTACCGCATTAATTAACTTGTAAATGTAGTGGCTCTGTCCACTATTTTAATTTTATATTCATTTTAGCCTGCTTTGTGAATTAATTTATTTTTGAAAATAATTTTTTTTTTAAATAATACTACGGTACTAGTTCACAAGAGTTCCGCACGGATTATGCGTGGTTCACAATCACTTCGATCACACTTGTTCATGGAATCCCGAATGTTGTCGTCTTTTATGACGTCAGCTATTGTTCCTCTTAATGCATTTTTGAAAGAAATAAAAACGTATTCCCTTCGTGGAACTTCCTTATTAAAAATGTATTAACAAATTGTGTATTTAATAATTAGTTAATTATTAATTTGCATTATAACGGTCATTACTGTTAAAGAAAAAGAAAACATATATAAAATAATGTTTGAGTCTTTCTTCAAGGCCTGTAAAAAAAAAAGCTTTTAGAAATAAAATTGTTATTGACACGTGCTTACATGTAGTGGCTATAAATACGCATCTACTGTTGTATATTATCTATTATAAATTGTATAAAAGAGTTTTTTATCATTTGGATAATAAATAATCGGAATGGCGATTATTGTAGTCATTCGTAAAATAAAAAAATCGTGTTTATTTTCGAGCAAGGAATTAACGTATTGAGGAAAGAACTGAAGAAGAATATCTGATAATTTCAAGATAATGAATAATGGAAATCATAAATAAGAAAAATATTGTGAAATAGCATTCAGAGATGTAATAATTAAATGTTTTTATCTATTAATATTCCTTTTTCATATATATAAATATATATATAATATATGTGCATGTTCGATTCAGGTTTCATAATGTGTAGTCTAAATTTCGAATTTAAGTCAATACTTTCAATAACGTTAATATAACTGAACATGGTTAAGGTTATAGTACTTAAATGGCGGGAAAGTTAATCGTAACAAATTCAAGAGATCGGTCGCCTTCGTTCTCTGTCGGATAAACCCGAAGGCATTCGGGATTCCATGAACAAGTGTGACCGAAGTGATTGTGAACCATGCGTAATCCGTGCGGAACTGTTGTGAACTAGTACCAATACTACTACTTCACAAGAGTCTCTGCAACATACAGCTGGGCCATAATTACATTGTTTTTATTTTTGATGCCATCTTGAAAAGAACCAAGTTGATAGATGACGGATCCTCTTCATAAGTCCTGATCTCAACTAAAAATGTTTCTTTTAAGTAGAAATCAAAACCATCAATCTAATCAAAGCAAGGTTGTAACGAACATGGTTGTTGATACTTGGTCATTTTTATAATTTTATCTAAAATGTAGTCGATATCATATATGATACAGCCTCTCAATGGACTCTTGCTAAGTTTTACCAATGTGGTTTAAGGGTAATGTACTGTCTGAATTATATTAATATATGAAGAATGTACTAGTTTACAAGTATCATTTAAAATTGGCAAGTGGTTCAGGATCACATCGATCACAGTTTAAACGAATTCGAAGGTAGCTGAGTATTGACAACCAAATCCAGGAATGGGCTGTCTACAATTTTACAAGAGATAAACAAACCCTCACCGGTTTGTTTTCAGTTAAGGTTGAAATATGCTATTATATAATATAATATTTTTTGACCATACCCCTACTACTTACTTCTGAAATTAGAATCTACGGTCAGTCATCTCCATACCATTATATTATTTAAGTATTATTATAGCCTAAACAAAATGTACCTGTATTAATTTTTATATACCAACAATGTAAAAAGATTTGTGATTGCAAATCCTGAATATGATTTTTATGATCTTTGACCTATGACTTATTTGGTTTCGAAGGATTGTATAATAATACCTTGAAAATATTATTTAATCTGTCTGACAAACTTGTTAAAGTTACAAGTCGAGGAATCTTAGTGAATGAAAAACACTTAATAATACAATTCCTATTCATACTATTAATATCAAATGCCAGTTGAAAATATTTTATATATTTTTTAGTATCATGAAATTCAGAAGAAAGAGGTATTATTACGTCAATTGCTAAAATTATTTTAAATATGGAAATAAAACAAGACATATTGTAAATTACGATATTAAAAATTAAATGAAAAAAATATATAAAATAATTAATAATAAACTATTAACATAACACATAATAAAGAAGATTGAACAATGTGCTATCAATAAAATATATTAGCCAAAACTTCATTAATCTTTATACTATTTTAAAAATGTGAATCAAAAATTATATTTCAAATCTAATAATATTAATAAAATTGTTGATAGTCATGTTCTTAAAAGAAAAAACCTCAATAATGATTACCATCAGCTGTATAAAAGTAGCATTATAAATTTAATTAATATTAACATACCAAAAAATGTAACCAACATGTTATCCTTGGGTGAAAATTTTAATATGATACCTTCAACTGCAGTAAAGAAATCAATAGTATATCAGCAGACACCATAGTAATTATTAGGGATATTATGATAACAGGTTATCTCAAATTATTTTTTGTAATGAAATAAACAAAAATGTCAGAAATATCACTCGTAAAATGTTTCTGTCTTCCTCAGTTCTATACTTGTATTATATTTAATTCTTACTTTTCCTCTGACAATTAAATATTTTATAAGGATTAAGTAGTTGTATAATTTATTAAATAATACTAAATAATTAATTAGTTTATATAAACATTTAAGAAGGAATAGGAAAAATATGTAATTTGGTTTCTACAGTAGGATTCATTTGATTACTTCAAAGGGAACAAAAGATATTTCATTACCTTTTATTAATTATTAACAAAATACATAAATAGTTACATATACATAAACTATCAATCCCATGAATTTACTACCGACAGCAAGATTGCCATTCAAACATTTCTAAATAAAATCAATTTATCACCATTTTTATTTGATTTCTCTATATCGAGAAAAAGTTGAATGATCCATTATTCACTTTAGTTCTGTTAGAATAATTTGTTTATTCAAAATCAACTGCGTGATTATCGCAGCATTTTTTCTCAGAACATTTACAATTCATATGACAGAATTTACAATTCATATTAAAGAAATTTCACACATTGACTGTAAAATATTAAATAACTTCCTACCTATTAAATAATGTAATGATTATAATAAGGATAGAATGTTCTATATGCATATTTCATATCCAGTTGATAAAATATATATTTATAAAAATTAGTTTTGAATTAATTGTTTTAAATTGGAAAACATCTTATCTTATTTTAATTAATAAGGTGTCTACCGAATACCTGGTATAATATAATGATGGTAATCATTATTGAGATTTTTTCCTTTTAAGAACATGACTATCAACAATTTTATTAATATTATTAGATCTGAAATATAATTTTTGAATCACATTTTTAAAATAGTATAAAGATTAATGAAGTTTTGGCTAATATATTTTATTGATAGGACATTGTTCGATCTTCTTTATTATGTGTTATGTTAATAGTTTATTATTAATTATTTTATATATTTTTTCATTTAATTTTTAATATCATAATTTACAATATGTCTGTTATATTTCCATATTTAAAATAATTTTAGCAATTGACGCATCTTATCTTCTTTTAATAAATAAGGTATTAGGTAATCAGGTACTCCCAGTAGTATGTTTTTCAAGGTCACTTAATGTACTTATTTATGGTGTTTTCAATGATCAATAAGCCCTTATAATTTTACTATTCATTTAAGTTATAACAACCTTTCGAACTATTTTGCTCATTTTCAAGTATGTTGAGTAAGTCCATGTTAAACATTAGGAGGAGATAGTACCAGATTTTCGGGAATAGACATGCCTTAAACAAAATGCGCATAAAATGTGGTGAAGAATGGATGGCGGTATTTTGTATTGGTGGACTAATAATAAATAGCAATACAATTATATGATATTATATCATCTTTGAAATTATAGAAATTCTATTTGGATTTGGATTACTTGAAAATGAGGAAAGTACCTCGAAACGTTATAACTTAAATAAATAGTAAAATTATAAGGTCTTATCGATCCTTGAAAACTCCATATATATAACAAATTATACATTTTTCCTATTCCCTCTTACGTGATTAATCCTTATGAAATATATTATTATCAGAGGAATAAGTGAGAGTATACAACAATATGGAATTAAGAAAGACTCAAGAGCTCTGAGTGAACTATGCAGTTCTTTTAAAAAATCATTGGGAAACCAGCACAAAGCATAGGCACTGGCATTAAGGAAATATTGGAGGGGAGAGGGGCGAAGGTTAATGTAGGATGATAACAGTGTTTAATGCATGGAAGGAGAAGAGAGAATAAATTGTCGTAGATGAAGGGTTATCTTAGTAACATGTTTTTTAATTCAAGCCATGGAGATGAAATACATTCGGAAGGTCAAGGGAAAGGTCAGAAGAGATAGGGACCGGAACGCCACTGTACGGACTAGCCTCGAGGTCAAACCGGCTGAAACCATCCTAGAGGAGCACAAGCTAAGATGGTTCGGGCATCTTCTTAGAATAGATCAAGAGAGAACAGCCAGGAAGACATACGAGACCTGTGTGGAGGGAAGGAGACCAAGAGGAAGACCACGCATATCCTGGGAAGACAGTGTACAAGAGGCGTTCAGGAAGTGAGGTATGGATTGGAGTAAGAGAAGAGAGTTGGGTCAAGCAAGGGAAACCTGGTCCAAGCTCTACAAGACATAGCCCACACTGCGCTGCGGTATTGGGATCAGGAATATGATGTTGATGAATAAGTTTTTTTTACATTTAGGTCATTTTCCTTAATTCTTCATCAAATAAGTATATCGTCCAAAAAAGTTATGAAGAAAAGGAAATTTTATGTTTTATATTCATTAAATTTTTAATGTCAGAGTTCTCGCTAAGGTATACTAGTCAAATAAAAACTAGGGACTTTTTTACTTAAGTATCACCAGTTACTATACAATGTTATATCATATGTTATAAAAGAATAAATGTTTTATTGAAAATTAATATTGAAAAAATTGATAAACACAAAATGGGTTAACCTTAAGAATAACAAAGATTCTAAATATTTAACAATCTCTCCAACAATTTAACAGTTTAGGACTGCTTGTTGGAACAGGCCCAATATTAATCTTGAGGAGGCCAAAAGTTTCTCATTGTCTGTATTATTTTATTAAAAAAATGTAAAATTTTAAGAAGTTAATTTTTTTTTATTTCACATTCTCTATAAAACAATACTTTTATGATTTAAGTTGTAATCTCATTTGTAAAATTGTAATAATTTATTACATTATATGTATTTGACAAATCTGTAACAGTTCTAAATAGTGACAAAAAAATAACTAGCGATACTTAAGTAAAAAAGACGCTAAAATTATTGCAAGACAATTTAAATATTGACATTATATTTTTAGATTTAAGGACAAATTATAAACAAAAATAATTAAAACAATTGACCTTTGATTTACAATTGTTAACAAAAATGTTTTTTTTCTTATTGTAATTTTGTATATTTCCTTCTATAGTTTTGAAATAAAAAAAAAATTTCTAAATTGAGCAACATTTATAGTTATTGCTCTTCTCTTATAGTTCTTAGCTTGTTTGTATAAAGCCTGAATCACGAGAGGGTCTATCTAGCACAAAAATTATTATTCCAATTGGGCTGGTATTTATAGGAGCTAATGCGTTCAAACCAACAAATCAAGCTTAGAACTTTATATAATAATATAAATTATTTAATATGTTAAATTGTTAATGTTATAATTAATACTATTATTAAAATAATTTTTTTTTATAGATAATCTACTAAAGGCTTATAACTTTATTATTCTTGATGAGGCCCATGAAAGAACAATCCATACTGACGTTTTATTTGGTATAGTAAAAGAAGCTCAAGCCAAACGGAAATCTAGCAATTGCACTCCTCTTAAGGTTAGTAAATTATCAAATTTAATTTTTATTTATTATTATTTTGTTATATATTTAACTGTTTGTAAACATTAATAAATGAAAAAAATAATGTAATTAAAAGTTTAGTTTGTAAAGCACATTATGTAATGAGTGATAATATTTTTCCTATTTCAGATAATCGTGATGTCTGCGACGATGGATGTTGATCATTTTAGTAAATATTTTAATGATGCTCCTGTTATTTATATTGAAGGTCGTCAGTACCCAGTTGAAATAAATCATGCTGTAGAATCCCAAGACGATTACATTTATTCTTGTTTAGTTACCATTTTTCAAATCAACAGAGAAGCCCCACCCAAGTAATAAACATTAATTTTGAAATATTATAATACCAGTAAAAATTAACTCATTATTTTCTTAACTTCATTGGAATCATGATCAATTATACGTAGATGGGGAACTGTGATCTCGAAGGCCGCATGTGACCTCTGTGATATAGTTGTGGCGTCCAAACTTTTTGCACGATATTTATTAATCTGTATTTGTTTATTAATATTTAATTATTTAAGTAACGACAATTTGAAAATGAATAGAATTAAGTTGAATATATGTATGTTGGTGTGTGCATTTAGTGATAAATAAAAATAGCAACAGTAAAATATAAAGAATTATTGCGGCCTCTATTATAACCATACTTCGGTGCCTAATGAGGAGAAGGTTCCCCACCTATGACATATATATGATCAATGATTTAATTCCATATGGCGTTTAATTTGTATTTCATTCTATTTTTATAAACACTATATATTTATGTCTTTTTTATACACTATCATAATTACAATATTATATTATAGAAGAGGTTATTAATGGTTTTTATTTTTTATTGCTTTCTAGTCATGACATTTTGGTATTCCTGACTGGACAAGAAGAGATAGAAACTATGACTGCTAATATTCGTGCCATAGCAAAGGTTTATTATACATATTCTATATATATATAATATTAAATATTCAAATTATTTAAATATTACATTTCTTATTTTTTTTTATTTATTTAGGATCCTCTATTTAGCGGTCCGAACATCAAAGTTTATCCTTTATATGCAGCTTTGGCAGCTAGTAAACAATTGGAAGTTTTTCACTCTCCTCCTCCGAATACTAGGAAAGTAGTACTCAGTACTAATATTGCCGAAACATCAGTCACAATTAGCGGAATTAAATATGTTATTGATAGTGGAATGGTTAAACACAGGTAACATAAATTCAATTCCTATTAACTTGTTCATAAATTATCTATTTTTAATACATATGTGTATAAATTATAAAATTTTGATAATAATTCGTGAATAAGAAGAGTTTTAAATGCTCTAGTGTTTTTAATATATAGTTTTTGATTTATTTAATACAATTTATTCAGTTAGAACTCTCACATATGATAGTTATCCTTCTCCCTGATGCATGGATGTATAAGCGACATCAGCAAAACGTGTTTATTCATATATCATCAAGATAGTCTATTCAACGCACACAATTGTATATTCATACTTTACTCCAACTGTTAAAATAGCAATTTACTTAATAAATTATTACCTTCTGGAAAATATCCCCTCAGTTTAATAGTTAAGCAATAAAACACAGTTATCCTTAAACTTAATATCTCGATACGGGATTTGATAATTTGTGTATTTATACTTTAAAATTGCACATTGAGTATATAATAAAAGTGTTGGAAATGGATCACCGACGACTCCCGCATGTCAGCTAAATTAGTCATCGAAAAGAATATAACATGGATGAGGGCACTGAGAAGGATAGGAACAAAATGTGACATTTCTTTCAACAAAAAAGATCTGCTGAAAGAGTTGAAAACACATAAAGACATTTTTCTTGAAAAACTAAAGCAAGAGAAAATGAATTATTACATTAAGAGGGCAAGATCAGCAGAATATCATAAAATGTATGTCAAATTATTATACGATTGTGGATATTTTCAGCAGAATGATTACAATTTATATTTCATTTGGCGAATTTTTAAAGAGAGAGGGTAACTCTTCAGTCTAAATTACCAGCTTTTATAGTAGGATAAAAGGGGAAATTGTACTTTGTGCAATATGAATGCACCAGAAGATAACTTTCATTTTATATCGGTATGCCCAATACTAAAAGAGTTCAGAATAGCATTTTTAGGTATGCATCAACTAAATTTTATGGAAACAATAAACATTTTATATGGCCCAGACTACAGAAATCTTTATTTGTATTTAAGAACATCCACTAATTATAGATGTGAATAAGTGAGAGAATATAATTTAGAATAAGAGGTATCTAAGTTCATGTTGATGTATATTTGTATATTATGTAGGTATATTTATATTTTTATATTTAGAAAGAATTTTTAGTTAAAATTAAGATTTTTTTTTAACTAAACAGATAATATTGCAATTGAGATCTTGTTATATTAAAACTGTGAATTCTTAAAAGATAAGATATCTCCACGAATAAACTAGGCGAACACCCCGACAGACGAACATTAGTTCATTGTCGATAAATCGTTTAATTATATGTAAAAAAAAATCTGGTGTGCGCAACACACAACTTTCACTTACTCTTTGAACTTTGAATAAAAACTATTTTCTGGTCATGTTAGGCTATTATAAAATGTTTTAAACTGAGCTAAAGCTAAAAAAACACAAATGCTATTAAAATAACAAAAGTCCTATTTATTATATCACCGATTGATTATGGATTGTTCGATCTATTGATTATGGATTGTACGACTATAAGTCATTAAACTGTTATTTTCCATTGCAAAGTTTATTAAAACGGAATTAAGAGATTTGCAGTGTCTGTCATAGACAGGTCAAAAGTTGTCACACTAATTGTAAGTGGATTCTGTTGGAATATCGCAAAAAGAAAAATTATCAAACTATTCACTAATTTAATTTTCTAAAAGGTTACATGATTTCGGAATAAACGGACGATAGATATCTCAATATTTAAATATATTATGAGATCTAGAGTAATTAAACTACAGTAAATATATTTAGGATTATAAACGTATCTATGAAATATTTTTGTATTTCACTTCTTTTTTCACACAAGTACAATGAAATGGTAGTGGAATATCACAAAGGGAAGATCTATCGAATTATTCACTAATTTAGTTTTCTAAAAAGTTATATGACAATATTTTGGAATTAATTAATACCTAATTATTTATAGAGAAATACTTTATTAAAAGTAATGCTGCCCTACTACATAGGGTTGCTTCGTACACAGCATACTTATCAATCCATACGGACATTAATTTTATATTATATTTTTCTTTTTTTTTTTCTCCCCCTTCATAACAATACTCTTACAAATTATCAACAATAAACCATATTAAACAATAGACATAGCATAATAAACACTTTCCCAAAATAAAAAAAAATTATTTTTTTCTCTTTAAATTCTCAAACGCCAGGAACGCAATATAACATCGCACACATATATAACACAGCAATTCCTTGAATGTAGCCAAAAAGATAAGACAATTATGGACCAATTTAAAATTTAATAAATAATTACTGAACTACAGTAAATATATTTAATATTATAAACACATGATTCATACATCCATGAAATGATTTTATATTTTATTTCTTCTTTCACACAAGTACACTGAAATAGTTTTTTTAGCAATGCCATCAACTTGCTTAGGTGGATTTTAAATACATTTTTTAAAAAATTAGCATTACCTTATTAACATATTCAAAATTCAAAAACCGAAACAAAGGATATAACCATTGCAGCAGAACGTATTAAAAAAAACTAGAGACCATATCTTATCTCCTAATTGTCCGATTTTAACGATTTTTTTAGGCTATTCCATAAACGTTTAGAAAACCATACACAACATTCCCAAAAAAGTGTATACTTTTTGAGTTATTTGGAATTTAATTTTACCATCCCTCATAACTTTTTTTCAGCTTCTTTTCGCTGATGAATGTTATATAGATAAATTTGAAGGGTGTCGAGAAAATGACTTTAGCGAAGTTTCAATGAAATCGGTACATTCGTTTAGGCCCTGCAGTCTATAGCTACGTTTTTCTGCATTTTTATTTTTTTTCTCCTTTATTAACTAATCAAATTCTTTCAAAAGTTATATTTAGCATTTTTTCGTAACTCTGAATAATGCAAAATAATTATCTTTTTAAAATAAACCATATTAAAGGTACTTTAGAGGAAGACGTATACGAACATTGGGCATTTAAGCCCTGTAAAGTGACATCAATGAGGATAAGACCTAATTTATATTAAAGACCACTTAATTATACAATGATACACCGAGTTTAATCAAAATCGTTAGAGCAGTTTTTGAGAAAACTGTGAAAATGTGTTTCAGCGTTGATATAAAGTGGCACTTCCGGTTAGCCGATTTTAAGGAAAAAGTTGCCGTCACAACTAAGGCATATACCTATCATGGACTTTTCGTTTTTGAGCTAGACTGCTAACATACAAACACACAGACCATTTTTCGGGACTTGGTCATTTCGACTCAGGGTACCTCAAAATGTATAAATCCGTCGAAAACTCAGATTCAAAAATTTTCTTGATCGCAATACTTACACTTACTATACATTACATATATACGTAAGTGAAAGTAAAAATCTGATATTATGTACTTTACAAACAAATAAGCGCTTCTATCCATCTATCTATCTATCATTAAACTTAAATTAATCCATTAATTTACTCGCTCAAGAACTATTTGTTTCATGAAGAAGAACCTTGGTTTATAGCTCTCTCAGTTACTCAAAGTATATAGGTATATTTCTTAGAGTATTTAAACCATAACTGGATATTTGTTTTTTTAAATTGAAAATATCAAATATATACGCATCAATATCTTTAAAGTTTTTTTCTATATTATTTGATATGTACATCCAAGGGATCATAGAGCTATTTTCCTCTGGTTACTTTCTCAATAGACATTTAGTTTGTCAAAGGCTATCATAAAGAGCTAAATATATTTTTTTAATTTAAAAATTTGATAAGTATCTCATGGGGCAAACATAACATTAGAAATTTTTGGCAAGAATTTGCTTTATCTTGAAAACAGTACATTTTAGGGCTTTAAAACACAATGCTTGGTATAGTTTTATCTAAACCAGTGGTCTCCAAATTACGGTCCACTGGTCAATTTTTAAAACCATTATTTTTAAAAAGCTAAAAATTCATTCTTTGTTGTTATAGATGTATGTTGTAAATATTATTACTTTATTTGTATGGGTATTAAATAATTTTATTTTTTTTAAATCTTTGAAAATGTATATGTTAAAGTAATATTTCGGAGGTATAAAATTAGTTTTTAAAAAATCATGCATACAATACTATTTAGTAACGATAATAAAATAAATGAAGTAGTTGATTCCCTTAGGTCTTCCAGCCTTGCTGGATGAAAGCCCTTATGAAGGCTGCATACATTGTACATCGAAATGTAAGCTTCCCAATAAATATTACACCAGCATATTATGTGTGATTGCTCACTGCTCCCCCCTCCTCCCTCTGACTAACTGCTCCTTTAATTTGAACCATGTTCAATCATTTCAATCATTCAAAAATAAAACAAGTTACAATTAAACATTAAATTATTTTATTTTAGAAAGACAATTTAAACATTATGACAAAAAAATGATTGGTTGTACATCTGCACAAGATGATTTGATCCTCCTAAGCAAAGGTATAGAAACTATAAAACTAAATACGACAACATTAATGAAAGTCATTAAAGAACGGACTCGAAGTAATTACAAATAAAATGAAATATATGGTTATGAAATGAAAAATTAATTTTATTGTGGGACTATAGTCACCCTCGGATTCACTAAGCCTTTGTTATTATTATTATAATAAAAAAGAAAAAGAGATTGGATTAATTTTAATATGTAGACGTAGTCAATAATATGGGTTCCTAAATTAACTGAAGAAACGTTTAGGAGTCGAGAGGAGGGGGATAGAGAGAGAGGGGATTACTATTAACTGTCAAGGACAGAATATTTAGGAGTAATATTTATTGGATTGGCTACATTTCGGCCTCATGTTTTATTGCTGGATAATCTATACCAAAATATTGGTTGACGAGTCTTTAATCAATGCAACAAAAAGTACCTATTAGGTCTTTTATGCAAACAGAATAATAATAATATAATTGCTATTCTTTTGTTTTATTGATTATATCTGGTCAAAACTATATTCATAATTATTTTTATATATTTTTAATAGAGTTCATCATCCTGGCACAGGGTTAGATGTATTAAAGGTCCATAGTATATCTCAAGCACAGGCGTGGCAGAGGGCAGGTAGAGCTGGAAGAGAATCCCCTGGATTTACGTTTCGTGCCTACACAAAGTCCGTAAGTATGAGTCAAAGGAAATATATTCACTTATTTTAAATGATACAGTTCATACTCAAGAATTCAAACATCTGGTTTCCGAACACTGATATTTCGAAATTAAAAAAAAAAAATTAGGTGGATGGAAACTTTTGTTGAGAAAAAGAAAATGTAAATTCAGAGAACCACAGACAATTGCATTTTCATGGATGATACACCACCCATATGCATACAGTTTGTGGCTATTAAAAAACGAGACTGATGCTATAAAATATTTTATTTCCACTTCATCTGTATTAAAAGCCAGCAGATACTGAGCAAGAGCTACAGCTACAGACACTCATGATTAAAGTAATATTAAATAAATAATAAGATTGCTTGATGGACCACAAAATATGGTTTTATTCTGATAAATCAAGAATATTGATTATTAATATTTTTTTCCTCCTATTCTTCGCCTTTTAGGCTACACAGGATTTTTCTAGGAGAGGACGGGGAATTAATGCCAGAGTTAAAAGCTCCCCTGGCACCGGGAAGTGAACTCATAATCATTTTATTATATTAACTTGAGACAATCAGGATACCAGGCAACGCTTGGCCCTCTGCCCTCTCAAAGACATTGATGTTTGACTTATAATAGTTTTTACCATCGATAATTTTTCATAATCCATTCATGATTCGAGGACTCAGTGGAAGTCGCAATGTGGCCTGTGTGGGAGACCCCTAGATTAAGTTAGTCACTTTAACCTTTAATTTCCACCACATCAATTTCTTCCTAGAAAAATAAAGATAATTGTTTATTGATCATGTATGTTTACGTTATTGATATATACAATACCCTGATAACCTACTTCAGATATTAATCACCTGTTATCACCTCAAATATACACCTTCTCCCATCCCCGCAATACTCCTATCGTCATCATTATCTGAAACAGTGATATATGTATTATTCTGTCAGCTCCTTCTGGGTGCCGCTTTCTCTTTAACTGCTTCAACAGGCTCAAATCTTGTTTTTTTTAATGCTGGTGGATGAATCGCTGTTTTTTACTTCTGATCCTGAAGAAAAGTGCCAATCCATGCACTGGCAGAACCCAACTTCACAAAGAACCAAAGAAGCTTGATGAGCAAATCAAAATTCAAAGCAAAGATGATTTTTTTTGTTTTCGATATTCATAGTATTGTGCTCCTTCATTAGTCTCTGGAAGGTCAAACTATTAATCAACATTACTACATTCTTATGTTTAAAATGTTTTATAGCATCAGTTTCGTTATATAATAGCCACACCTTGTACACTCTTCTCTTGGTCATGGACTTGGATCGAACTTGTGTTGGCTATTTCTTTTATTTTTATAATAAACCATGAAAAATTTTTAAAAAAAAAAAAAAGAACAGTACAGAATCATGAATAACTTATAAGTTATAAGTAACTCTGCTAGGACTTATGTGCCACTTGGCGCAAGCTTCTTTTGATTTATATTCAAAGGAAAATTTGCAGAAGCCGAGTTAAATGCTTCATTTATAGGCTTACGTTTGTAAAAAATTGGCAAACTTATAAATACCCCTTGAATTCCCTTACTCAGTATTTAATATATATAAGTTACACTATTATGTATTTTAATATTATTTTGATTTTAAATTTAATAACATGATATTATTTTCTAGGAATTTGATTGCATGGTCAAAAATACTGTTCCAGAATTATTGAGGAGCAATTTATCCAATGTTGTGCTGCAATTATTGGCACTGAAAGTAAATGCTTTAACATTTGACTTCTTGGATAAACCACCTAAAGATGTAAGCTAATTGTTTTTTGTTATTAAAAAAAAAATACTGCTACAACTCAGTATTTTGTAAGGAATTACTGATTTATAGTAGACCAATGGTTCAAATATAGGCTCCGATTAATATGAAAATAACTAAATTATGAGCACTTATAATTTTGTACTTTTTGGCACAACTTTCTCATCTTCAGTCAAGATTAAGTTTAATTTTATATTAAATGATTTTTTGTAGTGACCGTTTATAGCAGAAAAGATACAATATAAAATTGGGTTGTTTAGTTTACGCTTGATCTTCATTATAGTCCACTGTATCAAATTTTCTTAGTTTATAAATTGTCTTGAATTAGAGTAGGAGGTTCCTCAGCTAACTAAAATAGAACAGTTTAAGGAATAAATAAAATTTAACAAAAACTTTTATGAATTAAATAAATATTAATTTAATCCATATATTTTTATTTTAAGCTTATATTGGAAGCTTTTGACCAGTTAAAACAGCTTGGAGCTATAGATAATTTTGATGATGCCCAGTTAACTCCGCTTGGACAGAAGATGTCTCTTTTCCCTCTGGATCCAAGGTTCAGTAAGGTCTTACTGGAAGCAGAAAAGTTTGGCTGTGTGTATGTATATTCATATTTTTTGTGTGATAATTATTTACTTTATAAATGATTTATTTTATAATTTATTTTTTTAGTGAAGAAATTCTCAGTATAGTAGCTCTACTTTCCGGAGAATCAGTTTTTGTTAATAACATTGCTAAAAGAGAAGAAGCTGCTGCTGCTAGAGAAAAGTTTTCAACTTCGGCAGGAGACCACATCACTCTATTGAAGATATTTAGGGCATACAATTCGATCAACACCAAACATGTAGGAATTTATAACTTTTTAAGATATTATATACAGTGTTGCAATGGTTTGGAGGTGTTTGTTGAAAATTAATTATTTGTGAATTGTTAAGTAATAATCATAACTTTTTATATTTAATATGGCAATGATTTTTTGTATTCAGTTGGCAAATAAGTCCTTTCGGTTTTTCAGGGTGAAATAAAGCTAAATGTATTATAGACATAATTTATTTTAATCTACAATATATTTGCCATTATTTATATGCACACATATATATATATGCATTGCACTTTGGAATGAGTATAAATCTAAATCCAGGATATACTGAAACGAGGTTCGCTCACAAAAACGGAAGTCCTGGGACGAGTTCATCGCCGAAGAGTCCTCGAAGAATCCCTGGGGTATTCCGTAGAGGGTGGCATTGGGTAAGCTGACCCCGCTGCAGACTATTGCAGCTTTGAAATATCAAGATACTCAGGCAACCACCCTGGAAGAGACAGCCAGTATTTTCATTGAAGCAATATACCCCAGGGATGATTCAGCCTAGGACAGCGAAAATGACGCTTTTGTGAGGCGTACCACGGTGTATCCGACCGGGTCAGATTTATGCCCACCATGGGACATTCGCGATCTTCGTATTGCCGTGGATAGGCAGAAAATGAATCGTTCTCCAGGTCTTGATGCAATAGACGCGGTAATCTTAATTAAGGAACAGTATTCCGTATATTGAAGATCATATTTTAAGATTTTTCAATGAGTGTCTAGATACAGGATACTTCCCACGAAGTTGGAAGATTGCTGATTTGAGACTCCTCTACAAGGGAGGAGATAGAGATAAGCAACTCCCTAACTCATATAGACCTATATGTCTCCTCCCTGTGATGAGCAAGGTCCTAGAGAACCTCATGATGTCTAGCGTACGCCCTGTTTTCGACACAGCTAGCCATCCACGGCAATATAGTTCAACTAGAGGCAGAGGGACCGCTGATGCGCTGCTGAGAGTGCGCCAAGATGTTGAAGAGAGGGCAGAACGTTATGTTATGCTATTGCTTTTTGATATATCTTCCGCCTTCGACAGTGTATGGTGGCCTAGCGTGCTCCAGCAGCTGCAGAAATATGATGCTCCCAGCAATTTATACTCACTTGTAAGAAGCTACCTCCATGACAGGCGTGTCAAGATCAGTGGGAATCACTATGAGGTAGAAGCTTCCATAGAGAGGGGATACCCTCAGGGATCAGTCCTTGGCTTGTCTTTGATGAATTTCTGGGGGTGTTAGAGGAAGAGCGGTTCCCTGCTACTGCCTATGTTGATGACCTAGCTGCTGTGGTGGCCAAAAACAGCAGAGCTGGAGTCAAGACAGAAGCAGAGCGATGCGCTGGCCTGGTCGCGAGGTGGTGTGAGGGGAAGAAAATGAGGATGGCTGCTGCCAAGACTCAAGCCATTCTCCTCAAGGGCAAGACTGACAGGGCACACCCTATAACAATGAATATAGAAGGCCAGAGGATATGTCCAAGTGAGGTGGTAACCTACCTAGGAGTTAAGTTAGGTTTAGGCCTAAATGTGACACCTCACTTGGAATATATGGCAGGTAGGGTGGCTCTAGCAATGAACGGTCTAACTCGTGTGGGAGGCGCATTCTGGGGCCTTAGGTATCCAGCCACAATCACGATATATAAAGGTGTTGTGGAGGGTATCCTGAGGTATGCGTCTCCCTTCTGGTTCCGTAACCTCACACTACGACAAAAAAAAAGGCTAGCCTCGACTCAGGGACAGCTCTGCTTCAAGTCACCAGAGCATATAGGAAAACTTCGCATGACGCAGTGCAGGTTATAGCGGGGGTGGTGCCTCTCGACCTCCTCCTACTAGAAGAAGTGACGAAATATTCTTACAAGATAGAAGGCTCTACAGTACTTTCGGACAATCTACAGGTGAGGATTATGGAAGCGCCTAATAGGTGGAAGAAGATACTCCGGGAGGATACAATTGAAGCATGGAACCGGCGGTAGATAACAACCCCTAAAGGAAGTACATTTAGGAAGTACTTTCCCACAGTACAGTCGAGGCTTCAGGCAAAGTGGGTCCTCCCGAACTACTGGATTTCCCAGTTCCTCACGGGGCATGAAGGATTTCAAGCTAAACTGCACGGTCTGGGCATTGATGTAGATCCTCTATGCCCAATCTGTAGTGTTCCGGAAACTGTAGAGCACGTGGTCACGACCTACACCGCATTTGAAACGTTAAGAGCGACTATGACAAGAGCCGCGGGAATCTATGCTCTCACTGAAAATGAGTTTCCTCAGTTAGTCAGTGAGGAAAATTTCCCGCGGTTTAAGGATTTTATATATCGATGGAAGACGGTGGTGGGGCCTGCTCACTTTCGTATAGGTGCCCGCAGAAGAAGAGGACAAGCGCCAGGAAGACCTCCAGATTCTGGAAGCTAGGCCGAAAGAAGAAGGAAGAAGATAAAACAGAAGAACTGTGCGCATATCTAGTAGTAGTGTGTTATTAAGAATTCATGCCTAAAACACACTATCGCAAACACCCGCATTGCCATTGTGGCATGGGAGGGTGGAAATAAATAAATAAATAATGCCATTTTCATAGAATGTCTGGAGTTTATTGTTAAAAAACTTTAAAAAACTTATCCAAGTGGTTTTTTATGTCCTCTTCCTTTTGGAATTTCTTTCCATTAATGGAGTTGTGCAGAGACCGGAATAAGTGGTAGTCACTGGTAGTGGTAGGAAGGGTGTGGCAAAAGATCCTATTTAAGGCTCAACAATTTATTACGAGTGACCAATGAGGTGTGGGGCCTAGTGTTGTCTTGGTGGAACACAGCACTCTTCCGATCATTCAAAACTCTTCAGGATGTTCTCCGAATTCGATGTTACTATATCCGTTGGAAAGCTGAATTATTGTTCTTCAAAGCCGTATGAATGTTTTTATGATTTAATGCCTTCATAAGAAATAAATAAATAAAAACTCCTTATAGGTTTTTATATTTCATCTCCATTTGTAGTTTGTTTACAAAGGTTCTGTTGATGTCATTTTGTGTAGTCTATGTGGCCCTATATTCCTGCTAAAGTCTTATTAAAGTTACAACATATTTTGTGATTTTCGAAAAAAAAAATCATGTAAAAGACCCAATCATTAAGCCTTGTAAGATAGACAAGCTTGTGCATGTGGTTTTCTACCATTTTTGTGTGCGACACATTTAGGACATGGCAATCTCTCGGACTGATTGAGTGGGATTTTGATCAGCAATGGCTTTAACATATCCAAACTTGTTTCAATTTCATGTGGACGACCAGACCATTGAGCATTGGTGTTAAAATTTGGCAACCCAATTTTGACAGTTGTGCTCGGTTAAGACACCTCTTAAACACTGCACATTTTTCTATGAGCTTCTGCAGCACTTAGCTTTTTTTAAAATAATACAACAAAATATGCCAATAATGAATGATATTTTCTTCCATATTCACAGTGCAATAGCAAACAATACTAAGCTAGTTTCAACAAGAGTTAACAGATATAGTTGTTGACATATTACAAACAGGATAAACATCCACCTTGGGGATTAATTCAGCAGATAAGAATTGTATCATAGTAACCTAAAAATAGACAGAAAAACCGAAAGGACTTATTTGCCAACCCAATATATCTAAAGTTATTAAAATTACTGCTATTGCAGAATAAAATAAGTCTAATAAACATCTGTCTACAAGTGCTTGTAAAAAAAATATTACTAGCACTGAAGGTGTTCTACTACTGTGAGTACTTATACACCTTCAATGCTGGTAACATTTCCTGAATATCACCCACATGTTTCAGTTGAAACATCGGCAAAAATAAAAACCTTGGTCCATGAAACCTATGGGGTAAAGAATCAAAGAGACAAACTCTGATGAAGACCTACAGCGTAAGTCAAACTCAATAAAATACTATTATAATATATAGTATTATATATTGAACGCACCCTTCCCCACCCTCCACCAACCAACTTCTGTAATAATATTTTGTTTTCAACTGAATAATATGCCCATATTGATTAAACATATATTCTTATGAAAATGAAATACTTGCATAAATTATAATAGGGGATTTTCTAATCGTATAGTGCCAGACAGTCAGTTATTTGGCAGTATTCATCAATGTCTACAACAGAATATAAAACAATTATGAACTGATAAAATTTATTTATTAGGTAAATTAGGTTATTTCTCATGATTTGTAATTTTAAGGTCTGCAGTGGTAGAACGAGTTAAGGCACCTCAAAAAAAAATTTATATCAATTGTTCAAATCCTGTTGGTGGAAATTAATAACAAAAAAAAATTAATAAGTGTAGGCCCAACTCGATTGTGGGTCGTCCTAAACTCTATTAAAAAAGGCCAGATGCCTTTGCGAACCTGTTAATACTAATAGGATCTATTAGTTCGCAGCGCTTAGGGTCACTGTTACAATCATATCCAAAGTGAAAGTATCACAGTCTAGCCAAATTATCACATCTAAAATGTGATAGGCCAATTCATCCTCCAGGCCACACAGTCTGCAGGATGAAACATGAATTAAAACGTCAGAGTCTACAGGCGTATGAAAGAAAGAAAAAAAATTTGTAATTTTATAGACAGATTTTTTTATATACTCATAGATTGGTTACTTCATCATTATAATAAATTTCATTTTTTTTTAGGCCTGGTGTTATGAAAACTTTTTTAATAGTCGTAATTTGGACTATGCAAAGAAGGTAAGGAAGCAGCTTTCTGATCTTTGTAGAAGATGCGATATACAAATTAAATCTTGTAACCAAGATTTCGACAAAGTAAGAAAGTGTTTAATTAGTGGTTTCTTCATGAATATGGCAGAACTTCAAAGGGACAAGAAATATTTAACGGTAGGTAACATTGGTTTATCTGTCTCCTTTTTTTATCTTCTATGATAATTCATGTCATAATTCAGCTTGTCCTCAATTCGTTAGTCGAGGCATAAGCACCATTACCTTATAGCTAAGTGACAGATGTTACTAAGCCAGGCCAGTACTCAAAAAATTTTTTTAAAGATTGCACAACTTGTACAATACTTTCTTGAGATGTGATGTCTGCTATGTGCTAATTCATTTTAATTTGTTTCTTATATAATATTGAACCATGTTTATACATTAGGTAATAACTAATAATAATAACAACACGTTAGCTGCGGTTACGTTCCCTGGGGTCCGTTATTCTTCTCGACTACCAAACGGCCGGGATTGTTTCCAATTTCATCTAGCTTACGAAGTCTTTGAAATGATAATTTTTGAAAATATTTGAATGGGAATTGGATAGATGTAAAGATATGAGCGTAAATAATCATTATATCTGATAAACGGACGCTGGGAACCGATACCGTACCAGACGGCAGTAACCCCCGCTACCCGATACATATTTCTGCTGTGACAGGACAGTGCACATGCACAGTCATTTTCGGGCTTCTGTTGCGCAGTAGCTCTTGAGAGTTCATCTTAGACTGTTCCCCTTGCTTATTTAATATATATATAAATAAATACATATAAATAATGTATAAATTATATCTTGAAAATTATAATTATATGTAATAAATAAACTTTTTCTCTTTTCATTTTCAATATTTAAGATTTATATGCCTAAAAAGTAACACTTGTTCACTAAAATAAAGAGAAATAATAAAAAAACTCGTCATATAAACGGCATCGGACGTCGGAGTCCACTCCTACGATTGCTGGCCATCAATGATGACACAATCAACAGATAGAGACTTTGAATAGTGAATTTAGTTCACCTTTGGTGTAAAAAATAGAGGTATACCTCGAAACTGATGTGTATCTCCAGCGTCCGATGCCGTTAGGAACTTCATAACTAGTGTCGGTCGCCAGGGACCGATATCGTCGGGAAAAACATTTAAGAGATATCGTGCTCAGCAGCTAACGTGTTAGGGACGAATAAGATGGTCCAGGATGGTGGTCATAAGAAACTCAAACTAGTGAAAAAGTATTTTATTTTAAGCAAATCTTACAACCCAAATATGCAGTTCTTCATCATAAACTACTTAGCTTAGTTGTTCATGTAGCGCTGCATAGTTGGTTCGAAATGTTGGCTTAAAACAAAATATTTTTTCACTATTTCACTCAAACCATCTTTTTCCTCAATACTATACGACGGTCAACCATTGTGTTGTTTTTGTTGCCACAAACAAGTAATTATTTTATCATCTATAACTTCGGTTATCAGGTTGCATTGCAACCTCTTGGCCCCAACCATTGAGAACTTAATAATAAGGCTTAGCTGACCTGAAGGTTCGACCACTGGGCACAGTAACAGTAAACCCAACTCCACCAAATTAGCCTTAACACAGTCCTCCCACCTTCTCTTCAGTCTACCCCTCAGAAGTTTCCCAGTCAGCACAGAGCGGGAAGTCATGATGGCTGAGTATGTTAAGAGTGTTGGTAGGGGTTCACTCTGGTTAGAATAGATTTGGTTGTAGCTCTAGAAATTATGTTATAGCCTGATTGTTCTAATTTATTTTATTTTTAAGTCATTAATCTTTAGTTGCTTTCAGATACTACAATATATAGGAAACAAAAAATTTCTTTTACTTTCATTTTGAATTTTTAAAATTATTGAATTAAACTAATTCAATTGTTGTTTAATAAGAATGAAAAGAGAACTTACTCATTTTTCCATTCTTTGACATAATTGATGAAAACAATTCGATTAACTGATCTGTTTTATAGGTTGGTTCGAAGCAGCTGGTCCACATACATCCTACTTCTGTTTTATCTGGTTCTCTGCCACAAGTGGTACTTTTCACAGAATTGGTACAAACAAGTAAATGTTACATGCGTTACTTAACGCCAATAGATTCCCTTTGGGCGGATGAAATCAAATCTAAAGGCCCAACGATCTCAGGTTTTTCACAAGTTGACTAAATGACCATCAGCCATTACGATAAAAATTGTTTTTTAATCACAATGATGTATATACTGATTTTATTCAAGATATTTTTAATTGTTTTCTTTTGTATTATTTTATGAAAATAAAATTAATATTTATTTATCTTACAATATGATTGAAATAATATTGACTAGTTTTTAGTCAAAGGATTTATGTTAAAATTCAGGACAATTTTCTGTTATATTAATATTTTAAATTTTTAGCATTACCAAATTTTTATGATAATTATAATAACACTACTTTTTCTTAAAAATCTTGAGTACACATCCAAGCCTTGGAAAGCTAAATGATCAATGTGTGTAAATATGTACAGTTCTTTTTAATATTCTTTTTGTATAAACTATGATTGTAATATGTTTATTTTGTATAAAGTTAAATAAATATAATTTTATTGTTTATTTCTTTCTGTTTATTTCAATAACTCGAACTTATAACTAAAATTTTATAAAGAACGTAAATATGTTTAATAATTAAAGACTCTGTCAAACAGGAAGTTCGCGCAAATTGTTCACGTTTTGCTGAACTTTTTTTTTATTTATTTATTTTTTTAATGAAATTTACAACTGTATTACATGGAAAATTCAACAAGTAAATGTGACATTGGTAACCTGACATGTACAACATGAAGAGAAACTGCCCATTGGTAGAACTCAATGAATAAATTTAAATTTAAGTTTAAATACAAATCCATGTAAGTTTATAAACTATGCAGTTATTTTTTCAAATTTAGTCTGATTTAGCAGTCCTTCATAAGAAAGATAATTTGTACTGGAAAAGGTATAGTTCTGGACAGGAAATCTGATTCATGCTTTGATATAGATAACAAAGATTTTATTAAAATTATCCCATTTTTACTTTCCTACCTCTTCTAGGTAAGGAAAGTATTGCAATCGAATCAAATTTCTGACATGCAGTTTTCCATGGATCTATACATTTCATAGCCCCTTGAGTCCGAAAAACACATTTTTATGTCTGAAAATGGCTCTAAAGATTTTGATGAAACTTTTCTATGATGTTCTAATCATTGTCCTTTCAATTTTCGTATATAGAAAAAATTCAGGAATAAAAGTTGTAAAGAAAAGAAAAAATATATGGGGCCTAACTCACTAAGTATATATTATACGGTAAAATTTATAGTAAAACTTTCCGAAGGTAATTAAATTACCAAGAAAACAAAAAAAAAAAATCATCGGAATCAAACCAGTATTAGCGATGATACAGCTTATTCTATTTTTTACACATTTTTTTAACTTATTACTTTCCTACCTATACTAGGTAAGGAAAGTATTGCAATCGGGTCAAATTTCCGACATGCGGTTTTCGACGGATCTTTTGAAAGGTAATGAAATTCTCTACAAATCCATATAAAAATCATTCATATTGGACAACTATTAACGAAGTTACAGCTATTTAATTTCCAATGAAAGACTATGAGTTAATTTCCTGGTGTCAGAAAGAGGTGAATAAGAGATTAAAGATGACTAAGTGGAAGTAAAAAAATCTGTTGCCCGCATTTGATATAAAAATAATTATTATCGCGATCAGTAATAGCAGATCCAGCCGGGGAGCTCGCCCATCTCTCTCTTGGATGATGAGAAAAAAGTTCCAAAAAGAAACTATTTAAAGAAAAGAGAAATATATCAAAAATTCATCCTGGTAGACGAATTTTCTAATGTGATATAAAAAAAAGTTACTATCGTAACCAGCACTAGTGATTTCTACCGGGGGGGGGGGGGCGCCTTCCTCTGAATAGTGGAAAAAGTTACAAAAAAACATCTATTTAAAGAAAGGAGAAATATATGAAAAAATCATCCTCAGACGAATTTTCTAAAGTGATCATCATCACCATCATCCCGAGCTCGACAATCCATTACTGGATCTTGGCTGCCTCAAGAGTTTTCCACCATGTTTTCCTGTCCTGAGCAGCCTCCACCAGTTTCTGATTCCAAGGATTCTGATATCACCACTTACTCCATCTTTCCATCTCAGTTTCGGTCTGCCCACTTTTTTTTCGACCTAGCTCCATGCTCAGCAGCTTCTTTGGGATTGATGTCTCTTCCATCCCTACAACGTGGCCCTCCCATCTTAGCCTTACTATACGGATATATTTCCCTACACCCGACTCCTTGTATAAGTTGGTTATTTCTTGGTTGCGTCTAAGTCTCCATTCATCATTCTCCTTAACTGGAGCAAATATCTTCCGAAGGATCTTCCTTTTGAAAACTAATATTTTAAGCAGCTGTTCAATGAAAAGAGAAACATGACATATTTTCATACTCATAGACGTATTTTCTAATGTTATATATACATGAAGAGTTGGGGTGCTCAGTCAAAAAGCACCTTTTTGACTGACCACCCTAACTATTCTTCTCTTCATTATCCACGACAGTCAACCAATTACCAATTATGTGTAATATATATATATTAAAAAAATGATTGTTGTGACCAGCACTAGCGAATCCTGGATGGTGGACAAAAAATTTCGTAAAAGTTCCAAAAAGCAGCTATTTAAAGAAAAGATTAATATGTCGAGAATGTATCCTCATAGACGAATTTCCAAATGTAATATTAAAACAAAATTATTATCATGACCATTTTTATTAATCTTACGGTTTGTTATAACACGTCATCTCACCAGGCTGTCTATCAACTTGCACTCAGTCTTTGGCGCATGGGTCGATTTTGTGAAACAAAGAATAGAATGTAAGAGCAAAAGTCGGCTCGTAGGGTAGAGTTATGTAGTTTTTGGGCCCCAGTGAGATGCGAATAATGAGTTTACCCGTATTTACGTAACTGCATTGCAGTTTGCGCCTTGGGCAATACTTAATAATGATTTAAATAAATAAGAAATTAACGGTCTCAATTGAGCCCGTTGCTTTATTAACAGAACGAACTTAATTTCTCTCATGTACTCTGAAACTTTTCATAATTTTAAAAAAGTTCCTGGTGCCCTCGGAGCCCTAACTGCATATATATTCTATTGAAGATGTAATATAACTCAATATATAACATTTAACCCTATTAATAATTTCTTAAAGACATTCGTGAAAATAAAAGAAATAGTTGTGATTAAAATATGAGATCATATGTCTAAATTCAGTAGATCCTATTAGTATTTTTTTTTTTTTTAATGGCAAAGTTAAAACTGGATCCAAAAAGTTTTAACTTTTATATCGATACACAGAGGACACCTCTTTGTTATGTTGTGGTTAGGTTATGGCTTGTTCTAGAGCAGGTTACGTTGTGGTGAGGGCTTAAGCCAAATTTTCTTAGGAAAGTTGTGGTAATAAGTATATTAAGCTATAAAGTCACTCACCTGCTTTTTCATGAGTAGTCCTGGAAACAAGAAAAATATATCTATCATCAGGAAAAAATTTTCTCTCGCCATGAAGAGGCCACCATCTCAAATTCAATTTAACATAAGTACTAAAAGACAAAGACATCTGGAGGGACCTCGCCCCAGGGAGATATCTATTGAAATTCAGCGAAAAACATTGCCTATACACAGAGTGAAGAGGAGGTATGTTCTGTTAATAGGGATCAGGATTGTATTAGTTAGGCATTTTCTATTTTGATTTTTGTCAACAGGCTTCTTATGGAAATAGAGAAAGCGGAAACAGTTATATTATTAGGAGAAACAGGCTGTGGTAAAACCACACAGATCCCTCAATACTTGCTCGAAACAAAACTTAATCGTGATGGTATCATCGGAATAACTCAGGTATTGACATTCTTTTTTTTTACTATATTCGAATATTAGTTTGATTAGAATTATATTGGCATGGTTATTAACAAACGAGCTTTAGCCAAGAAGAGTTGCAGCTGTAACAGTGGCGAATCGAGTTGCGGTTGAAATGAAAACATCCACTGGTCAAGCAGTTGGTTATACTGTACGATTTGAAGATGCAACATCTCCTCTGACAAAAATAAAATACTTAACTGATGGAATGTTATTACGAGAAGCCATTTCAGGTAACAATTTATATATTACCGCATTAATTAACTTGTAAATGTAGTGGCTTTATCCACTATTATAATTTCAGGTACTTCTTGTCTAGGGGGCAGGATTGAAACCTCACTTCTTATCTATCTTATCTAATGTCACCTCATATAACCTCCCTCTTCTTATCTCACCAAACCTTTGAGTTATTGCATTGTTTAGTTTTCAGTTATTCCCTTATTACGTTCACTTATTAAATTCTTTACTTTTGGCCCGATTGTGTTTATTTTTCATTATTTTTAGTTTTTGGTCCATTTATGTTTCTTTTACATTTTTTTTTAGTTTTTGGCCCCTTTGTGTTTTATTTAGTTCGTTTATTTTTCATTTTTTTTTCCGTTTATTTTTGTCATATTATGGATCTTCTTAGAATATGGGATTTGCCGCCTTCATAAGAACAGACAATTCAATATTTTCAAAATGTTGGGATACTTGCCGACGTGAAATTGTGTGAACGAGGTCATCCAATGAAGTTAAGCAGGAAGGCCAAGTGGAGATGTCTTCGTAGGACTTATGACACAAAACTTTCAATAAGGAAAGGAACATGGTTGGAGGGCTCGAGGATTTCGTTTTTAACAGCTTATAATTGATTTATGGGTGGTCCCATACCTTGACAACGATGAAGTGGGCCAAAGAGCAGCTGAAACTATCCTGCGGAGCAATGGTAACGTGGAACAAATGTCTAAGAGAGGCTTGTGCCCATGACATGTTATACAGGCCAAAAAAAAAAATTGGAGGACCTGGCAAAGTGGTTGAAGTAGACGAAAGTCTTTTTTCTAAACGAAAAAATCGTGTGGGGAGAGTTTTACCTCAGCAGTGGATGTTTGGTGGAGTTTGCCGAGAAACAGATGAATGTTTTATCTTTTTATAGAACAGATTTTATTTTATATTTTTTCTTTTCTATGTAAATATGTTCTTTTAAATGTGTTTTTTTTTTATTAATTATTATTTTTTTTTTATTTCATTTTGATGTTTTAT